CGTAACCTAAAAAGCCGTTCAATTTCATCAGACCACCATTTCTTGGGAGCATAATTATTTTCCGGCTGAATTTGAATTGTATTATTCTTAATTATTGATGCAACATCAGAGTTAAAACTTTCGATTGAATTGCCAATCCTTAATTGTGAGAGTTCTTCCAAGACTTTTTTGTGACGTATACGATACGATTTCTTAAATTTGATGGCAGACGGATGTAGTTCAATAATTATTGGAAGGTGGTTGCTGTTGGTCAATTTAGTATTAAGAACCTTCCACGATGGATTTTGGAGAAAATTTTTACAAAATGTGACATCAATTGCTGAGTTGTAATCATTAAGTCGAAAAGTTGGATCTCCATTGTTAATACAAGAAAAATTATGAATCTCCATGCTATCCTCAAGTTGCCTTCCAGCAGCATCTGATGAGAGGTTGCCCCATAAGGTAGACTTGGCGTTAAAGTCACCACCAATGATAGTTGGAAGCGCCAAGTTTGATACTTCAGCAAGTAGGTTGTTGACAGATGATTCAAAGAATGTTGAAGGTGTGCTAGGAGAAAAATAGGCGACAATGAAAGTATAATTCTGTTGTAGATTGATTGTAGTAAGTCCCAGAATCTCAGCATCAGTAGTAAGGTTCAGAAGAGAAAACTTGATATGTTTTTTAATGTATACTCCTACTCCGCCGTAACCATCTGCTCTATTTTTGGAAGCGAAATTATAATTTAGAATGCTGCAAGAAGAGTTATCTTTAATCCATGTTTCGGTAAGGATAGCTATGTCAATATTATGGCGATTTAGAAACAGCTCCAGTAAATTTTTATTGTGAATATTATTTAAACTTTGTATATTTAATTGTAATATTTTCATAGTAAAAAATAAAAGAAATTGAAATTATGTGTTGATCCTTGTCGCGTCCAAGGTACTATCAAAAATCTTATCGTAATCCATTTGGAGTAGTTTTTTTTCAATATTAATACGTACATTGTTTAAGAAGTTGAAATGATCTGCAGACAGATTGTTGGATTCGGATAAAAAACCAGTGACTGTTTTTGAAGTTTCTTCTAGTAATTTTTCTAGTTCAGTAACTTTATTTTTTTCCGCTAGAAGCAGCGCACTACCATTAGGGGCCTGGTATACAGCATCTTCCTCTAATGCCAGACGACGTTGTTCTTCCAGCTTCCTAGCGTTCTCAGCTTCACGTTCACGATTTTTAAAATTTTTCGTTACACTCGAGTAAGATTGATTTGCGTGTACACACCTTGCAGATTCTTGGATATTTCTCGTTTGATTTAAATTCTGCAATTTATTATTCGTGGGCTTAATTGGTAGTGAGGGGAAATTCGTGGTGGTGTCATCATCCAGCAAATAATAACGATTTGAAAAGATTGTGGGATATTTTATTTTGGCTTCTGACACCGATAAATTTTCTAAGGTGGTGACCCTCTTTATGTTGAAAGCTTTACTTCTTGCCTTGCATGCCCTATCAGTGGGGACATGGTCTCCATTACAATTAGGGCAACGTATTGGAGTCTGGCATGGTGCGGTATCTTCATGAACATGGTAGCATTTTTTACAATTCGGTTGTTTCTGCTTGCAATGTTTATTAACATGGTTGAATCTGTAACAACTATAGCATTGTGCGAATGGAATGTAGTTACGCACACGAAGATCAGCATAACCATAAATTTTAATAAACGTAGGTACAGTTAGTCCTTCAAATAGAATTTTTACTCGCATAGTGGGTACAAATTCATCTTTTTCCTTGCGCAAAACTCTAAAAATTTTTTTAATTGGAATTTCTGAGTAAATATTTTTATACAGTTCTTCAATTGAAATATCCTTATCAACTGGTGAGATTATACCCATTCTTGATACAAAATGGGAAAAAATGCGCGGTTGATAGCCAGCATCAACATGGCGCTGGTCTTTGACAAATTCATTGGCTGCTTTGGCATTCTTAAAAGTTATTTTTCCACGACCATAGCCTATTTTGGTTACAGCTAGAATATCACCATTATTTAATGAGTTCACGTATCTTGCTAATGCAAAAATACTGATGGGTTGTCTTTGTACACTGGCCGATAATTGGTCAATGTACACCATGTATGGTCCTGGGTGATTAATGTCATAATAGTACTCACTGGTTGCTGGAACTCGAGGGGCAAAAATGGCATCTCCGGTGGTTACTTCGGTGGGGGCTTCGTTGAGCTTTACTGTAGATGAAAGCAGAGAGCTATGTTGCTGGTCAGGTTTGGCTGGTGGTGTTGCAAAGATATGATCACTATTCTTTTCCTTTGATGTTGATCTTGATCGAGACCTTGACCGGTCAGATCTTTCCGTAGGAATTCGTTTGCTAGACGTCCTTAGAGGTGGTTTATTTGGCCTTTTATCAGGAGGCTGCGCCGGTGGGAGCTCCACTGGCTCATCCATTTTGGGGATATCAAACCCCTAGCACAAAATACACTTTGTTGTTTAAAATCAAGAAAAAAGTTGTTTTGTTAAACTAATTTAACAGAAAAACTAATATTTAGAAGTGGTTTTTTCCAAATTGAAGTAACGGTAAAAATGCCACTGTCAAAAGCGTATCACTCAAGAAAATTAAACGCAGTTAAACGTGTTAGCGCATCGGCTTCTCTCGAACGAATGTATTTATTATTTTATTTTATTATTTCATCTGTTTTACACAGATGATTCATTTGTAAAAACTTGAATCACCTTGTTAATGAGAAGATCTTTATAATCACCCGTCCTTTCACATATGATCCATTGCTCAAACATTTGAATCACCCTGTTAATGAGAAAATCTTGTTTAGATTACTGTTTGCATCACTCGAATGTAAGGCTTATTAATAAGGTCTTCCTGGAGGACCAGCTGCCCGATTCTTGTCGGAATTCATTATTGTGAATTGAAGGATATCCTGTTGTCCTGCAGCACCCTCAAAAGGCGGTAACAACTTCATCTCATTTTAAACGGAATTCCTGTTTGACAAATTTGAAACACTGGCTGGATAAAGGGTGGCCAAATACTTATTCGGAGCGTTTGAAATTCGAAACCCTTTTCGATGAGCCAATGATCAACTCTTAAAGGATCCAAAATCTATTTTAAATATTTGTAAGTTTGGTAGCAGCATTATATTTTTTCTTATTCCGTAATAATTTTTGGTTTTTTATTAGCCGAATAGGATTTCAAAATTGGAATTTAGAGACCCCTTAAGGCCATTGTTGCAGTGAAAAAACATCGGAATCAATTTACGGATACATTTCCCTACTATTTACAGCAAAAATGTCTGATGAATTATCCACAACAAAATCTGCCACAGACCCAATAGAAACCACAACCCAAACTTCTGATGATACCCCTAAAGAACCAACCACCACGGAAACCAAAGAAACCGATACCGTTATCGATGATCGCATATTATTCCATTGTAAATTATGTGGCCTGCACGAAAAAGTCCATTACTATGGCGAGCAGCCATCTTTTGTTTATGGTCTGGAATTTTGTGAACCCACATATATAATGCGTGATCCATTTCAGCCGCCCATACCAAAGTGGAAATCAAAGCCGGAATATTTTATAGCAATCGGAGCTGAATGTATTCGATGCAGCAATATGATATGTAAAGATACCTCGTGTAGTTTCTTCTATAAGCGTACCTATTGTATGGAATGTGCCAAGGCGTTAGCGACTACATTTCCAATGGATATACAGGTGAAAATAAAGAAGCAATTGGCGATGGGGACAATGAGGAGTTGAATTCATTTTTTTTTAATTTTTCGGAGGAGATTTATGGGAGACATTTTTTTTATTTCCGAAGCCTCGAAACTCCAAATTCAGCTAGCTGATTTGAAAAATATTCCTTAAAATTACACATTTTAACATTGGCAAATTTAAAATTTCTTATAAAATCTATAAAATTTCTTATAAATCTAGCTTAGCTGAATTGCACATTCCTAAGAGAAAACGTTGTTTACTTACAAAAAATTGACTTTTTCCACAGTGTAAACTTATTCAGCTTAGCTGAATTGCAAATTACTCGGCAAAAAATAATTTGCAAGTTATAAATCGATGATTCGGCTTAACAATATAAAATAAAAACTATAAAATCCAAATTCAGCTAGCTGAATTGCAAAATATTCCTTAAAATTACACATTTTAACATTGGCAAATTTAAAATTTCTTAAAAAATGTATATTCAGCTTAGTTGAATTTCAAATATTTGACTTTTCCACAATATAAACATATTCAGCTTAGCTGAATTGAAAATTCTCAAATGAACTTTTCTGAATAAGATTTATATTATGATATCAGCAATTCAGATTAGCTGAATTAGATTTTTTGTAGATATTTATCTATTCTGCTTAGCTGAATTGACCTATCGTTAGAAAAACTTTAATTCAACTCAGCTAAATAGGATTTTCATTGTGAAATATACAATTAAGCTTAGCTGAATTGGGTTTTTAAATAAAATCTACAAATCAGCTTAGCTGAATAGGATTTATGTTGTGATATCAGCTATTCAGATTAGCTGTATTAGATTTTTTGTAGACATTTTCCTATTCTGCTTAGCCGAACTGACCTTTCGTTAGAAAACCTTCAATTCAGCTCAGCTGAATAGGATTTTCTTTAGGAAATATACAATTAAGCTTAGCTGAATTGGGTTTCTTAAACAAAATCTACAATTAGACTTAGCTGAATAGAATTTATGTTGTGATATCAGCAATTCAGATTAGCTGATTAAGATTGTCTGCAGACATTTTACTATTCTGCTTAGCTGAATTGGCCTATCATTAGCAAATGTGCAGTTCAGCTGAATAGAATTTTCTTTAGGAAATATACAATTTAGCTTACTGAATCTATTTTTTGTTAATAAATTAACTCTCATTTAATTAAATTTAACAATTTCTCTCTATTTTTATTACCATATATATTAATATAATATAAAAAACATATTTTAGTTAAAATACAGTCAAGGAGAAACAAAAACATTAAATTTATGATTTCTATTAAAAAACAACCACTCTCCAGGTGTGGTAGGTTGGCTATACTTTCACATAGAAAAGTAAATACTTAAAAATTAACTACGTCCTTCCTTCCTTTACTCGTCACTTTTCGGTCTGGGTGCTATTTTCTTGGCAATATCCATGGCTTGACTGGGCTTCTTCTTTTTCTGTTTCTGTTGTTTCTTCTTGAGGGCCTCCACCTTAACGCCGCGGAATTCACTTTTCTTCGTCTTCTTCTCGCCATCACCCCCTTGAGATTGTTTTGGCTGGGAATTTGAATTTTTGTTTTTATTGAATTTTTTGGATTTATCGCCACCAGAACCACCCGCCTTCTTATTGTGTTTTTGATGAAGTTTCTCTTTGGCAGCCTGGACATCACGTTGCTCCTTGGCACCCAGTTTTTTGACACTATAACGTTCAACATTTATGGGACGATCATCCAGCAGGGTTTGATTCAGTTCCAAGGCCAAGCCCACGGCATCGGCAGTTTTGAAACGGACATAGGCCACTCCCTTGCAGCCCTTGTCCTTGTCACGAATGCAACGGACATATTCGATTTCGCCACAACTGCTAAAGGTCTCACGCAGAGATTCTTCGGTGGCAGCTGGAATTGAAAAAACATAATTTTTAATTGAAAAAAATTTAAAATCTCAAATTTATTTTGAAACTTACTATATTTCAAATTTCCCACAAATATGGTACGCTTGGCCTCCTCCTTCGATTCCAGGGCCGAGGCTGAGTGTTTCAAACTCGATTTGGTGACACGCAAATGCATACCCTTGAATTCGCTTCCATTCAGTTCCAATGCCTTTTCAGCCGCCTCCTTGCTTGTGAGTACCACATAGGCATTAAGGGCCCCAGCGGCCTTACGCATTTTATGTTTATGTAAAATTTGACCAGCTGCCGTGCGTAAACGTATTGAGTTGACAGGTCCATATTTTTTGAACAACTTGGTCAATTGTACACGTTTGGTATTGACTGGCAGATTACCCACAAATACTGTGGCCTCTTCTTCGGCCGGATCTCTGGGTTTTTTCTCGGCCAATTTTTGTGCCTTTAATTCTTCGCGTTTCTTTAGTTTCTTTTCCTTCTTCAATTGGACACGTTCGGAAGCCTCAGATGTAACTTTGGGGGCCACCAGTTTCTTTTCAATTTCTGCAACCTCTTCTTTGTTGGCATCCTCCTTGGCTAACTTGTTGTTCTTCTTCTTGTTCTTTTTATTGGGTACCTGTTCAGCAGATTGTTGCTCCTGCTCGGACAACTCCAATTTACGTTTCTTGGCCTTCTTTGCAGCCTTACCCTGGCCTTCTTCTGCCTTATTTTCCTCCTTCTTCTTTTCTACCTTCGTTCCCTCAGCTATTCCAGCCGCCTTTTTCTGTGCCTTCTTCAGCTTCTGGGCCAATTTTTTCGCCTTCTTCTTTTCAATCTTTTTCAGCTCAGCCTCAGTGAGATTTCCAGCCTCCTTGGTAGTGGTGGCGGCGCTCTTTACCTGCACCACATTTTCCTGCTTCTTCTTTTTCTTTTCCTCTGCCAGTTTATTTTTCTTTTTATCCACTTTATTTTTCTTTGCCACCTTCTCTGCGGCCTTTGGTTGTGTCTCCACGAGGACTTCTTCCTCCACGTGTTTAGTTTTTATTGAAGATTTTTTATTTTTATTCATGATTTCTTTTTTATTTTCAAATCTGCGTTTTCAAAACTCTTCACGTGTATATGAATGAAAATAAAAACATTAAAATTAACGTGGATTGTTGCATAGGGGGGAAAACAGGGTGACACATAGAAAATTGTTTTAAACACTATAATATGCATAGCCCTCAACAGAATTAAAGCGTAAAACGCTTGGCGTTATTTTTGTTACAGTAAAGAAGGAGAAAAAAGGAAATCTGGAAAATTTTCTTTTAATTTTTGTTTTCAAATCGCCGTTTACACAATTCTTCACGTGTATATGAATGAAAATAAAAACATAAAATTAACGTGGATTGTTGCATAGGGGGAGAAACAAAAACAGGGTGACACACAGAAATTTTTCTTCAACCCTCAACAGAATTAAAGCGTAAAACACTTGGCGTCATTTGTGTTACAGTAGAGAAAATTCAAATAAAAAATTAAATTGATCCCTTTGAGGGAGTCTGAAAAACAAAACTAAAACGGCATTTGCATTACAACTTTTTGCAAGTTTAACCCACTTTATGAGGATTTATTTTACAAATAGAAAATGGAATTGGCAATTGAAACCCAATGGGTTAACCCACTTGGGTGTTCTAAAAATCCTCAAGTAATTGAAAAATCCAAAAAAAGTTACTAGAAGAGAAAAAAAAACTTCAAATACAAAATTATGTTGATCCCTAGAGAGAGTCTGTAAAAAATTATAATTTAATATGATCAAGGGCTTTTTCACAAAAAAAATCTAGGACCGTCGTCGTATTTGGGGTTCTGAAAATCCTCAAGTAATTGAAAAAGTTAAAAAAAAAACAATCTAATGCTGTCGTATTTGGGGTTCTGAAATCCTCAAATAATTGAAATAGTCAAAAAATCACTGATTGGTGCGCTCTATGGTCCGAAGGTGTAATTGTAACATGCTTCTTCGAAAATGAAAATGGAACGAGTGTCACCGACGACAATTCGCAGCGTTATGGTCATATAAAAACCAATGTTTTTGTGCCTGCTCATGAAGAAGCCGAGCTCAAAAAAGATGTTGTTTTCTACTTGGTCTGATTCGTGGCCTTCCCCCTCTAGGGGAACCATCAGTAGACTCGCTTTTATATGCCTTTTGAGCTAGGGCATTCCCATTCATTCGCACAAATGAGGCAGCTCTTGGGGTGTTTGAAAGAAAAGAGCTGCCTCATCTGCTTGCGCAAGTACCCATGCTTCAGATCCATATAACAGCACGGGTAGTATCAGCATCTTGTAAAGTATGAGTATGGTCTGGCGGGAGGTGGCCTTGTTTCTAAACTGCTTACTTGGACCATAGTAGCATTTGTTAGGAGAAGAATGCTAGATTATAAATTTCATATTTACCAAACTGTCGGTGTGTCTTCAGCTAATTAGCGATGGACATCTACAGAGTATGTAGGTTCAATTGTTTCCAGATCTTTCTTATCCTCACATAAAGAGACGTAGTTGTTAGCCATGTCAAAGTTTTAACAAAGCTAAGGATCTGCTTTGAGATCTATTCCGGAGAAGAATGCTAGATTATAAATTTCATATTTACCAAAATGTCGGTGTCTTCTGCTAATTAGCAATTGACAACTACAGAGTATGTAGGTTCAATTGTTTTCACCTTCCCTCCTCATCCACACCGCTAATGTCCCATTTAGAAATGTGAGATCTAATCCGGCAGTGATCGGTTATGATACCCATAACGATTTTCCTTCTCCCTTACTATGAGACAGCAGCGAAGAAATTCTTCGGCGAGTGAATTCTGGCCTTTCCCTGTTAACATAGCTTGGTAAGTTGTTCTTTACGTGATTTTAGCAGCCGTGAAACTAGAAATTTTAAAATGAAAACGATTTAATATTTACAATTTATCTACCTACCCTTTTGTGGGATATCCAAATTCTGCAAACGAATTATTTTTTGCTTTCGGACCACTTGAAGTTTTAGTTTCTCCAAAGCGTAAGACGTTAAATTTTCTACTTTACGCCAAGCCTTTACAAAATACAACTCTGTACCTTGAATTATTTCCAATAACCAAAATAGTTCCTATTCCAATATCCAACAAAAGCAACAGCAGGCTCTGTATTCGAAGTTTTTTTCAAATAATTAATAAAAATCTATCGAAAATAAAAGTTAAAATTATTTAAATTGGTAAGTGAAATGTCAAAAATTAATAAATGTGCAAATTTTTACAATATTGTGCGAATTATTGTGAATTTTGAAACTTATGTGAGAAGCACTGTCCAATTGGCGGCATCTACCAGATGATCAGCTGATTATTTGTTTACATTTGATGGGGTGTTGGTGTTGATATTGGTTTACCAACCAAAATGAAAAACGTACCATTCAAGGTGTATTTAATAGGGTGTATGCATGAATTTCAATAGCTAATTGTGTTACAAAAACAACATAGTTATAGAAAATAAATAGTCAATGCATTAAATTGAATATTGGGGTTGCCCAATTTTTCGGAATACATACATATAAAAAAATAATACAAATCTTCTTAATATGCTGTTGTATTATCGCTGCAAAATGACACAATTTAAAATTCATCTCTTATTTTTTCTGATACGTTTTGGAACCAATTTAGAATAAGTTCACTGTAAATATTATTTGAAATTAAGACCCTAATATATTCTGACTATTTTACAAAAAAATAATAATAAAATCAACTGTTTGTCACTTTCATCTTCTATAAATACACCTTGGTACCATCATTAAAGATATCCTACGTTTTTTTTTAGTGTTATTCTTTTTGTTAAGTTAAAATTTATCAATATTATTGACTAAATATTCTCAAATTTAAAACGAAAAAATTCAATTGGCCGCAAATAATTATTTATTATCGGCTTTCATTTTACTATGCGACCAAAATAAAAAACGTTCCAGTTCAATTTATATGTTTCCATGATTTATTTGAGTTTGTTGTGATTTAAACGGCATGTACGTAAGAACTTTTTACCGGGCTAATGGTACCGGATTTCGCTATCATTAATATGTTTCCTTGTAAATAATCAGAAACGGCTCAGTTATGCTCAGAAGTACAAAAACAAGGGTATTTCGTTTTGGAATACGGACGAAAGTGAGCTCGAGATATTTGGCTCCGAAAAACAGAAAAATATGGATGAAGACTAATTCAGAGTTTAATGAACAAAACCTTCAAACTACGGTGAAACATGGTGGAGGCTCGGTTGCGGTCTGGGAATGTTTTGAAACTTCGGGGGTTGGAGAAATTGATTTTATTGAAACGACTATGAATGCGAAAGGTTACATAGATATTCTAAACAAAACCGAGACACCAAGCGTTCTTAATTTGGGGATATTCCAACAAGACAACGATCACAAGCATACCTCTCGCCTAACGAAGGAATGGCTTCTATACAGAACCCCAAAAACAAATAGATCACCCCCGCAATCCCCAGACCTCAATCCAATTGAGCATATTTGGGAGTACTTGGATCGAAAAGATACTAGAGGAGTGGAAGCAAATACCTGTAGAGTATACGATAAAGTTAGTGGAATCAATGCTACGACGGATACAAGCAGTTATAAAGGCCTATGGAGGCCTAAAAGTACTTATCAACATAAAATATACATTAAATTAAACTTTACTTCGATTAAATTAATTTCTGATCAAAGTGTATACTCACTTATGACGCGTAAAATGTTAAGTTTTTTAATATATATGTTTATATAAATGAAATATTGCAAAATTTTTTATGTTTTTTCGCTTTTATTTCCTTAGTTTTGAATAAAACTTTAAAACGGCATATACATTAGAACTTTTTTACCGGGTTAACCTGCTTTATGAAGATTTATTTGACAAATATGCAAAGGAAATGACAATTGAAACCCACTGGGTTAACGAAATCCGGTTAAGTGTAAACGTAGCCTATGCTTTAATAAATAAATCCTCATAAACGGTTTGCTATGCATTTGGCGACCATAATAAAAAAACGTTCCAATATCATTATGTTTCATTGATTTATTTGATGTTTTAACTTATATTTTGTATAAAGTACGTGTCAAATCATCGTGTCAAATTTGAAATCATAATAAAAAGCGTTCCAGTAACAGATTTATTTGCTATTTTGAGCTATAAACCTGAAATAAATCATGATGACATTGATTTATTTCACGTATATTTTGTATAAACCCCCAATAAGTCATAATAATGTTTACATCACAGCATTTATTTGACATAATTTGTAGATATTTTAATAATGAATTTTTAACTAAAGAATATTATTTTTATTTTCTTTATAGTTATACATATTTCAATCAGGATAAAAAGTAACAATGTCAGTGACAACAACAACGACAAACCAATATCTAAATAACTCCTCCCAAAAATCGCCACAAAAAATAGACAATTCGAATGGAAATAAAACTACTTCAGTGACATTGAGCGATGATTTGATTACAATTTTAGAAGAAAGTTTATCGGAATTAACCGATGACATATTAAATGAATTACAAACATTGGCGAATAATGAAAATAAACAAAATAATGATTTAAACAATAATTTTAGTACAGAGGAAAATAGTAATAAAATAAATAATAATGATAATAAAATAAATAACAATAATAAGATAAATAATAATAATGAAATAAGTAATATTAATAATAAAATAGATAATAATATAAACAATAATAATTATAATATAAATGATAATAATGTCGATAATAAAATAGATACCAATGATAAAATAAATAATAATAATAAAATAGATCCTAATAATATGAACAATAAAAATAAAAATGATATTATTAAAATGGATACTTATAATATAAACAATAATAATAAAAATAATAATAATGATAATAACATAGACACTAATAATAAAATAATTAATAATAATTTAAATAATAAAAACAATATTGATAATAATATAAATATGAATAATGCAAATAATAACACAAATAATGATAATATAAATAATAATACAAATAATAATTCAAATAATAATACAAAAAATAATAATAATACAAATAATAATACAAATAGTAATATAAATAATAATACAAATAATAATAATTCAGACGATGATACAAATAATATAAAAATAAATAATGATAATAAAATAACTAATAATATAAATAATAATACAAATAAAAATATTTCAGATAATGATACAAATAATAATATAAAAAATAATGACAAAAATATAACTAATAATATAAGTAATAATACAAATAATAATATTGCAAACAATAATATGAAGAATAATACAAATAATGTAAATAATAAGAATCCGAAAAATAATAATAATAATACAACTAATAATATTAAAAATAATAATATAAAAAATAATGATAAAATAAGTAATAATTTAAATACCAGTAAAACAACAAATAATAAAACTACAACTAAAATAAATACTATTATTAATAATAGCAACAACAAAAATAAAACAAAACCACACAAATTAATTAATACCAGTTATAATATAACAAAACCCAAAGAACGTTACAGACCCCAACAACAGCTGCAGCGACAACAATTTACTGCCGATGTTACACAAGCCATTATTAGTGAATATTATAATGGTTCGAATTGTATCGAGTTATATCTTAACGGTTGGTATTATCGTGGTTTCGTCGACACAGGAACACCGGTAACATGTTTAGGTTTCGGTTGTATAGATTTTATACAACGTAACGGTTTAGATATCTATCCAACATATGAGACCTACATTCGAACAGCTAATGGACAAATTAATGACATTGTGGGTAGTGTACGTCTAAATGTCACCTGTAATGGTCAAATGAAAATGATGACAGTGTTTTTGGTACCCTCATTAAAGATACGCATATCAATTGGTTTAGATTTAATTGAAATGTTTAATATAAGAGCATCGCAGTATACGACAAATCGTTTATATAGCACATATGATTATTATTATAATAATTATTTTTAATTTCCTGTTTTTTTTCTGTGAAAATTTAAAAAATTATTGAAAAAATAAAAATTCCATTCTTTAAATAAGATTTTTGATTTTTTGAGATTTTTTTGTGAAATGAATTAAACTTTTATTTATTGTTGTAAACATGTATTAAAAATACAAAATAAAAATATTCTATATTAAAACACGAAGGTGGTGTATCCATTGACTTGTAAAAATCCAAGATTTGTAGCATTGTCCACATTTACTGGTAAAGGCCCTGATATTGAAATGACCAGTAATGACTCCTGCTATTACTCTAATTTCAACTTTACGCAGGTTCAACAGTGAGTTTGTCCACTTGGTTGACACAGTCGGTCAGATAGATCTTGACACATTGCACCCATGATGTCACGGTGTCCTGGTACCCAACACAGCCGATAGTTGTATGCAAGTTCTTCCAAAACTGTTCTATACTCGAGGACGACATCAGATTTGATGACTTTAAGAGCCACTTGACTATCCACAAAGATAGTCACCGGTTCAACGATCTCTGCTTCCAGACTTTTTTTATCAATTCCGCTGCCTTACAAATCGCGAAGATTTTAGCTTGGAAAACATTACAGTTGCTATCCAGCTTGTAGGTTAACTGAAGGCCTAGCATTTTACAGTAGACGCCAACCGCTGTACCTTCTTCCATCTTGGATCCGTCTGTATAGAAAGCCAGACCGTGCAGAGGAGGGTTACTTCGGTTCCAGTCGTCTCTACTAGGAATAACGACATCTACGTCGTCAAATCTCAGCACTGGTGATATATAGTCGCTGAGTTTTACGCGTTGGTCCAATGTCATACCTAGTTCGTTCATGCGGATAAGTTATTTTAAACTTTCTTCATCTTGCCCCTGATGAGAAGAACCTCCCTCGTCGAAAGCAAATTCGCATCTCGTCCTACGAAGGTAAGATAGCGCAGGTTTATATTGCTTCGCATCAGCTGCTTCTCGGGCAGTTCCGACCTTTGAATCTTTGTCCGTTATTGGGGTCTCGATAGATTCCCCATCGTCGGACATAGCTTCAGCCGATGTCTGCTTTTGAAGCTTATTGTCGGCAATTGCCGACACAGAACCTGTTAGAGTCAAACTTGAATTCGGTCGGTCAGCAAGGTCTACGCTTCCTTTGTTGGGTAAGATTTAGTAGCACTTCCTCCGGATGTGTATCTACACTTTACGGAACGCTTTTCATTTTGGTTTCTCTTCTGTCATCCATTATAAATTCTCATAAACTAATTTATAATGGAACGCTTTTCATTTGTAATTTATTTCTTTTCTCACTACCAACCATTGGAAAAATTCCTTAACGTGTAAACCTCATTAAATTAAATATCAACGGAGCGCTTTTAATTTTTGTTGCATATTAAATCTCTACGTAACTACCTTCATTAAAAACAATTATCTTGCATGTAAAACTTATTAAACTCCTTGTACATTAGAACTTTTTACCGGGTTAACCTACTTTATGAGGATTTATTTGACATATATGCAAAGGAAATGACAATTGAAACCCACTGGGTTAACGTAATCCGGTTAAATGTAAACGTACTGTTATATACATATCAACGGGAGCGCTTTTACTTTGGTTGCATTTTAAGTCCCTTATGAGGAAATTATTTTTCAACGGAACGCTTTTCATTTTGGATTGCATTTTATCTCTCTTCTCACTACCATCCACTGCAACCATGCAACAGCAAGACCAAATACTATTGTCGCGCAACCCTGGCATGTTTAGTTAAATGTGAGCAAGTTAACAGGGCGAAGGGGAAAAGCTGCTGCTACAAAAAAAGTTCCCAACACACAAAATTACGTTTAACAAAAAAACAACAATTTTCTAGAAAATAAGTTCAGTTTTTAAGTCAAACCCGCGAAATTACTAAAACAAAAAACACAATGCGAGCGTGGAATTTGCAAAAATGTTCGTACGTAGCGGTATTTATGGTAAGTTAGAGAGTGCGGGTGAGAGTGGTGGCCATCAATTGCAGTCGACGACGGCTGTCGGTATGGTTGGTAGTGAAAATTTCTTTCCCTACCCTTCAACCTACAAATGAGAAAAAAGTAGGAAGACAAAACACCACGTATGCGAAACGTCACACAAGCATTGATTTACCAACCAAACAGCCGGTGGCTTGAACTCGATGGATGGTGGCCAGCCTCTGTGTTTATGTTTTTATAAAAAAAAAACAAATTGCACACGAGTTAATGTTTTTATTTTCCTCCATGTTTTTTATTTATATTTGCAGATATTTTATGTTTTCTATCATCCCGCAGATAGCGGGGCGGTATCATTGACCAGTGAAAATATTGATATGACATTAGGTGAGTGTTTCATTAAAAAAAGTGACGAAGACGATTCGATTATGTTGTTTTTGTGTGAGTGTGTGTGTAAATTTCCAGAAACCTTTAAAACTAAACTTATCTTCGATGCGATCAGCCGCATTTGCTGCCATTAAATTGTGGTTTGTTTATATTTTATTAGATTACATAGTTTTTGTATTTGGGATTTATTGTTATTATTTAATAACTAATTGTTTGCCCTATTTAAGGTCTATTGAAGACGACGAGAAGGAGGAGGAGGGGAATGGATTTTATTATCACCTCCACCGGGTCCACCTCTTGACGTGTCAATAAGATTTTTTGTTGTCAATTATGCATGCACATAAGTTTAGGGTATATGTACGTACATACATACGTGTGAGTGTGTGTGTAAATCAAATCTCATTATGTGCAGAGCGTATAAATCTTCTTCACCAAATGCCACCTAACACCAACCAGAAAAGAAAATAACAACAAAAACAAAAAAAGCAACATAAACAAACAAGTAGTCGGCAATCGAACCTGCCAGCCAGTCAGCACCACCATGAGATTCTTTTATGTGTGCGACATAAATTTTTTTTTTTGGTAAATGAATGCATGCCTCCCAAAACCCATTGACTATTTGGGCCGTTTATTGACCTTTTTTCATTTAACATTAACCCACAAATTTCCTGTCTCTCTGTGTGTCAGTTCAAATAACTACAAGAAAAAACACGGCCTATGTTTCTGTTCTGTTTACAATGCCATGCCATTCATTCATCCACCCCATACAACATACTTGTTGATTGTCGTCTTGGTGATCGCTAGAGAGGGAGATTTTTTATGCATTACAAGAAATAAATATTTGTTTGAAAAATATTTGTTCAAATATTTCAAATAGATGACATTTGAATCTTTATACAATATTGGGAAGATCATGTGTTGACATGTAATTTTCAGCAATTTATTTTGATAAAAAATTTTGATTTTTCAATAATTTTCAGAAACATATGAATCACATTTGATGACTCAATTATGATAAACTACTAGGTCAATAACTAAAGTAAAGAAATCATTGATAAACAAGACGATATTTATACCCCAAAGACCACAGTATGATAACAGGGTATTGTGAATTTGTTTAATACAATTCAAAATCAATCTAGATCAAATTAAAGTTGGGTCGGAACAAGTCTGGTTTGAAATTTCTACCATAGCTAGTCTATATTGCCGTAGTGAATTTTGAAAATCATGAGAAAATATAAGGATCGGAGCGGAATTTTGGAGGTCCAAAATCAGCAATAATTGACTTTTCAAAATTATGACAAAATATAAGGGCACGAGCTGGTCCGAGATTTTTGTAATCAAGACTTCAACCGCTTTAAATTGATACCTATATTGCCATAGTGTATTTTCAAAATTATGAGAAAATATAAGGGTCCAAGCGGAATTTTGGAGACCCAAAATCAGCAAGTATTGACTTTTTCGGCAAGGAAATTAGATTTTTGTAATCAGGACTTCATCCGCTTTAAATTGAGACCCATATTGCCTTACTGAAAATATAATGAGAAAATATAAGGGTACGAGCGGAATTTTGGAGACCCAAAATCAGCAAGTATTAACATTTTCGGCAAGGAAATTCGATTTTTGTAATCAGGACATCAACCGCTTTAAATTGATACCCATATTGCCATAGCGAATTTTGAAAATTATGAGAAAGTATAAGGGTCCGAGTGGAATTTTGGAGGACTATATCTCCCGAAACGCAATTTCCGAATGAAAAAATTGATACCGTCGTAATCAAGGCTCCAAGTTCCCCATTTATTGTAAAAAACGATTCGCAACCGAGCCCCAAACTAGACAAGTCGCTAGGTTACCCGGCAATTCTGATGGAACATGATTTAGCCAGAACTGTTGAAAACCTAGTCTACGCAGACAGAACCAAAGTTATGGGCGGGAACAACCTGCATGGGATCCTTAGAACTATTCACGATAGTCTAAAGAATCAGAATAGGAAACTTATCGACCAGACAGCTGGATAGGCTTGTCCAGGAAGAGCAAAGTGGGAACCTAACTGATGATGAACTAGCGACTATGGTGATTCCGGCCAAGACCTTTATTTAGGAAGTTTGCTGTGGCGCTTAACGAAAAGAGTATGGATCTTGATGCCCAACCGAAGTCAAATCTAACTCAAATTTAGTCATTGGACCCCTTTTTGAAACCGGTCATCAGCCAGCCATCGCCACTGTGATTTGAAGATCGACAGTTTTTTTGGCAGCAACTTCGTGCAAAAATGATGCTAAGTTTGTAAACTATTGTTTGAACAAGAAATTGAGAGATTTCCTTTCCTCAGAAAGGAACTAATCTTTCTGTTGCCTCCTGAGATTCCTTCTTCACTTCAGCCTGGATTCCCACACCTACTCAGGACGAAGAAGATGTTAACCATTCATCTAAGCGACTATATATCACCAGTCCTGAGATTTGACGATGTAGATGTCGTTATTTCTAGTAGAGACGACTAGAACCGGAGTAACCCTCCGCTGGGCGGTTTGGCATTCTGTACAGACGGATGGAAGAAAGTACAGGGGCTGGCGTCTACGGTGAAAGGCTAGGCCTTGAGCTTACCTACAAGCTGGATAGCAACTGTAGTATTTTCCAAGCTGAAATCTTCGCGATTTGGAAGACAGCGGAATTGATAAAAAAAATCTGGATGCAGAGGTCGTTGAACCGGTTACTATCTTCGTGGATAGCGGCTCTTAAAGCCATCAAATCTGAGGCCTTCCTCAAGTGTAGGGTACCAGGTTACCAGGACACCGTGACATCTTGGGTAATGAAAGAGCAGACGAACTAGCTAGACGAGGATTTCAATCCACAGATCTAGCAAATGATGACTCAATCAAACCACCCATATGTCATCTTTACCGGACCTTTGAGGCGTTCTTCGACGAAAGAGCCTATGAACTTTGGCACAACGAACCTAGGTGCAACGTGTCAAGATCCATTTTGCCGACTCTGTCTACCAAAAGAACATACTCACTGTTGAACCTGAGCAAAGTTGAAATAAGAGTAATGACAGGAATCATTTACCAGTAAATGGGACCATGATGTTATTGATTACTGTAGACTCTGTATTGACGAGGAGGAGACGGAGACAATTGAGCATCTCCTGTGTCGATGCCCAGTCCCGTCTCCTACAGACGGCACAGACTAGTGGGTGCTTCACTTTCTTAGTTTCTTCTCAACAACGGAACCTGTTCTAATCTACAGCATCATTAGAAATCTAAAGTGGTTGAGAAATGTCCGATCTCTATAACCATCGATACTATGTAATATTTCATTAAGGGGACCCCCCCATTCTCGGGGTCAAAATTTTTGTTGATATAATTCGAATCTACACTGATTAAAGAATGTCTCTACAAAATTTCAAGTGAAAATCTCAAGAACTGTTGAAGATATATCCGATTTAGTGTGTCAGCATCAAGTGACGGCTAAAGGGTTTCTCAAACTTTAAACGCGTTTTTCTCTAAACATTTTTTTGTGAATGGCGGGCACGATAACTCAAAAACTAATAATCCAATCGGTTCCAAATTTTGCATCGTTTCTCTGGGAGTGTATAGCTCTCGTATGAACTAGGATAAAGCCAATCGGTGAAGATCTTCATTATTTTTAAATTTGGTTTTTGGTCAAAAATCGGCGATTTTCCAAAAATATTTTTTCAAAGGTCCACCATTTTGTTAATTTTAGAGCGAAGTCAATAATCCTAGTTCATACGAGAGCCAGACATGTACTCTTTCTAACACCGTTGGAATTTTCGGATTCCCCTTAAATAGTTTTTTTTTTCTAGAAAATTTTGCTGTGTATCAGTATCAAATTGTATTCGATTATTAGGCCTATTATGATTTTGAATGGAAACAAATATGAATTAAATTAAAAATGAAGCTAAACCCTTTTTTTAAATGCGGAAATTGTTCTTTTCACATAAATTAACCTTTTTTTACATTCCAGATAACATTATTTTGTAAAAACCGATTTCATTGTTACAATGAAACATGTGTTTTTGTTTGTCTTCCAATAAATGCTATCTAAATTGCTCGTGTTATATATATATATATATATATATATAGTGCAAATAAAACAATAAAATTAAAAAGCATCCATACATGTATATTTAAAAACAACAACAACTTTGCGTTTTCAATAAAGTTGTTAAAAAAAAACACCTTAAAGGTAGAGTGAACTGAAAGTTTGTTTAACAAAAAAAAAAAAAAAAATCAACATTTCCATTGTCGATTTTGTTTTGTGTGGAACAAAAACTCGATAATTAATATAAATTGAAGTCGTCGTCTATATTTCCCATATGTTAAATAAAACACGAAGAAGAAAACAAAAAGAAATGTCATTGATCTCTACCCATTTCTGGAGAATCCATATATTTTTGGAGGGAAGATCGATTACATTATCATTTCGTTTGTAACCCCTCGAAATATTCCCTGGAGACTCTATGAAATGTTTTATAAAAATTTAATAACAAAAATAAAAAAATATATTAGGATGCTTGGTAATGTACATGTTATTTCCCGATTTCATGACATGATGACATTCCAGTATACCATATAATGATCGCGCAAGAGGTATTGTTAAAGTCTTTACCACATTTTCTAGCTGTGTTAAGTATTACGCGACAGGTGTATAGTCCGTACATAATATTTTGCTTCCAAAAAAATATATGCAAATAATTTTTTTTTATAAAATTTTTCATACAATTAGGCATCTCCTCGCTATTTTTTCTTACATAATACTTTTTTTTGGCCAACCTTTTTATATTTTTTACGTCGAGATATTTAAATTAATAACTTTCACTTGTTGTGTCTTCATAATCTTTTTTTACAATCTGGTTTGATTATGTGTTTCAGTGGGTTATGAACTTTTAGGTCAAACTGGTTTCTCCCGTGTTTCGAAAAAAAAAAAATAATTGACATAACAATTCCGAATTGGTTGGTGATAATAATTTCACGATTGAGTTCTAATAATTTTATGTAAATATATTTAATAATAATTTAAATATATTAAATTTTTTTTATTTAATTCGAATCTACACTAATTCAAGAATTTTCCTACAAAATTTCAAGAGAAAATATCAAGAACTCTTGAAGATATAGCCGATTTATTGTGTCAGCATCAAGTAACTTTAAACGCGTTTTTCTCTTTTGTGAATGTTGGGCACGATAACTCAAAAACTAATGACCAAATCGATTCCAATTTTTTACACGTTTCTCTGTGAGTGTATAGCTATCGTATGAACTAGGATAAAGCCAATCGCTGAAGATCTTCTTCATTTTTTAACTTGATTTTTGGAAAAAAAACCGGCGATTTTCCAAAAATATTTTTTCAAAGGTCCGCCATTTTGTTAATTTTAGAGCGAAGTCAATAATCCTAGTTCATACGGGAGACAGACATGTGCTCTTTCTAACACCGTTGGAATTTTCGGATTCCGATGTTCTAGTGGGGAGTTATCATGCCCACCATCGAAAATAAAAAATTTTCTTTCCTTGGCTGGAAATTAAAAAAAATATAAACTTTTTTTAAATCACCGCCTAGGCTGGATGTTAAAAAAATATTTTTTTAAAAAAATTTACGCCTTGGATGGGTATTAAAAATTATTATGTAGTTGTAGTGGTATTGATATTTTTGGCATTTCAGAAACATGGTTGAAGGAATATAACTCTCTCTACAAAAACTATAAACATTCCTTCTTTCGTAAGAAATGATCGGCCCACTTCACGGCGAGGTGGTGCGGCAATTTACATTTCCAATACTTTAAAATTCCGCGAAGTATATCGCTGTGAGCAATATGGTGCCTGTGAAACTATCTTTGTCGAAATTTTCTGTAGCATAGGTACTGTTCTCTTTACTTACTTAGCTGGCTTGTGACAGAACTTTCATTCCACAAGCCGAGCTTAGAAAAGATTTTCAGGCGCGTCGGTCTTTTGCGCAGTTTTTCCAATTTGAAAGACCATTTTCGGCAATGTTGCCTTCAACTTGATCTTTCCATCGTATTCGTGGCCTTCCCCTTTTGCGTTGACCATCAGCTGGTTCGCTTTTATATGCCTTCTGGGCTGGGGTATCTTCATCCCTCGCCAACGTAGTCGCTGCTGCTCAATACGTCTAACAATGTCGATGTCCGAGAATAGCTGGTACAACTCATGGTTCATTCGATGGCGATTGTCACCGTCAACGCAGTTCGGCCCATAGATCTTTCGGAGAATTTTTCTCTCAAACACTCCAAGAGCTGCCTCATCTGCTTGCGTACGTACCCATGCTTCAAATCCATATAACAGCACGGGTAGCATCAGCGTCTTGTAGAGTGTGAGTTTGGTCTGGTGGAAGGTGGCTTTGCTTTTGAGTTGTTTGCTCAGACCATAGTAGCATCTGTTGGTCATCACAATCCTTCTCCGAATTTCAAAACTGATGCCATTCGTTTTATTTATGACGGCACCAAGGTATATAAAATCTTTGACTACCTCGAAGCTGTTGTTCCCAAGTTCCACGGTTGGCCCGAGTCTACTGGACTGCCAGACCCACATTGGCAGACTCCTTCTAAATTTGTTCAAAGGTGGCTGTTACCGCTCTCAGTGTTCAACCCATTATGTCGATGTCATCGGCGCAGGCGAGTAACATGTGTTGTTTGGTGTACAGAGTCCCATTTCTGTTCACTTTTGCCTCTCGTATGGCCTTTTGCAGCAGGATGTTAAAAAGGTCACACGACAAACTGTCACCTTGTCTGAATCCTCGTTCGGTATTAAAGGGCTCCGATAGGTTCTTTGCGACTTTAACTGCTGATCTTGTGCCAGTTAAAGTTATCCTGTATAGTCGTATAAATTTTGCAGGAATGCTGAACACAGATATGGTTGTAAACACGTCTGAACGGATAGGGCTGTCGAATGCGGCTTTATAGTCGACGAATAGGTGGAATGTGTCGTTATGTTTTTCGTGGGATTTTTTCCAGGATTTGGCGCAGAGTGAAAATCTGGTCAATGGTGGACTTGCCAGGTCTGAAGCCACATTGATATGGTCCAATAATGTCACTGACCATTGGCTTCAGTCGTTCACACAGTACGCTGGTGGATATCGCTTTATATGCGATGGGAAAAATGCTAATTCCTCTACAGTTGGCACATATCATCTTGTCTCCTTTTTTGTGCAAGGGACTGCTGAGGTTCCAATCATTGGGCATGCATTCCTCTAGCTAAATTGTACTAATCAGCTGGTGCATGCTCCTGACCAGCATCTGACCACCAGTCTTGAATAGTTCGGCTAGTAGCCCATCGGCTCCTGCTGTTTTATTATTCTTCAGTCGATTGATTGCTATTCTAACCTCATCTTGGCTAGGTGGTATACACTCTATACCGTCATCTATTATTGGTTCTGAGGTATCTTCTTCACCGCCACTATTTGATAACAGAAGTTTTTTAAAATGCTCCTTCCAGATCCTCAGCACAGATACAGACAGCATCTGTCACCAGGTTTCCTTCTTTATCTCTCCAGGAGGATGTGCCTGGACCAAAGCCTTCGGTTTAGTGTTTTACCCGTTGGTAAAATTTTCGGACTTCATTCTGACTCCTGTACATTTCGATTTGCTCACTTTTCTCCTCTCTGCTTTTCCTCCGATAATTCTCCATCGTATTACGTATTGCTACTGTCCGCAGGATTGCCCTATACGCTGCGTTTTTCACATCAGTAGCATTACGACACTCCTGATCGTACCACGGATTTCTTGATGGTGGTTTTTTGGTACCCAAGTGTTGCTTTTGCTGCAGTTTGTAGGGAGTGGGCAATTCTCTGCCATTGTGCTTCTATATTATTATCGGGGCCAGGAGTGCTTTCGTCAATCAGTTGGGTAAGTTGAGCGGAGTAGTAGTTCTACTATATGTTGTGTTTGCAGCTTTTCGACGTCAAATTTCCGTGTTACATTAGATTGCACATTTGCTGCTACATTAAGACGGGTGCGTACCTTGGCTGCCACAAGGTAATGGTCCAAATCGATATTCGCTCCTCGTATCGTTCGAACGTCTAAAACACTGGATGAATTTGATTTCTCGTTGCTTGATCAGGAGAAATCCAGGTGGCCTTGTGTATATCGAGATGCTTGCATCTTGTGCCGCTAACCCGACGCCTTAATCCATTTTTTATAGTTCTTATGGGTGAACTCGCGGCGGGGTGGTCAGTGTCCACAATTGAGATGAAAGAGCGACCAAGATAAGGCTGGACTTCGCAATGTTAAAGCCAATCAGAGCCGTTGCTTGGTATCCATCCCCTACGACACCGCCACGCCTTGGCAGGATATTAAAAAAAATATTTTTTAAAAATCCATGCCTTTAGGATTCTCTAAAAAATAATTCTTAAAAAAACCAAAAACCAAAGTAATTTTTAAAAACTGCACGCTTTGTGGATTCTCAAAAAAATAACTTTTTAAAAAATCCACGACTTGTGGGTTCTCGAAAAATATTTAAATATAATAAAAAATCCAGGCCTTTGAATCGGCTTGAAAAAATATTTTTAAAAAATACACGCCTTGGCTGGCCATTAAAAAAATAGTTTACATTTTAATTTCTAATTATTTCTCTTTCTCCTCTCTCTCTCTCTTTTATAGCCTCTAATGAATTGGTATTCTTAAATTTTTATGCCGAATGGTGTAGATTTAGTAATTTATTAGCACCCATATTTAATGAGGCTGCAGATAAGGTAATGATTATTTTCTTACAAAACAATTATAAGAAAATCTTACTAATTTCATTTTTCTTTGAATTTTTTCCCTCACAGGTCCGCGAAGCCTTTCCCGATCCCGGTAAAGTAGTCTTAGGTAAAGTTGATTGTGACAAAGAAACTGCAATTGCATCCCGCTTTCACATCACCAAATATCCAACATTGAAAATTGTACGCAATGGCCAGCTGTCGAAACGTGAATATCGTGGACAACGTTCAGCAGAGGCATTTTTGGAATTTGTCAAAAAGCAATTAGAGGATCCCATTAAAGAATTCCATTCGTTGAAAGATTTGGAAACATTGGATTCGAAGAAGCGCATAATTATCGGTTACTTTGATCGTCGTGATCAACCGGAATATGATACATTCCGTAAAGTTGCCTCCAATCTCAAGGATGAATGTCAATTTCATGTTGGTTTTGGTGAGGCTGCCCAGGCAATGCATCCACCGGGTAAGTTGGAGTACAGTTTTGTTCAATTTTTTTTTAAATTTTATTAACCTGCATGCAATGATTGATCTCTAACACATGTAATCCCTTGATTTCTTCACCTATGTATATTTTTGTCTCTACCTTTTAAAAAATAAACACAAACAAGGTGGTGAAAATAAACCCTTAGGTAATGCAATACTTAATATAACTTTAGGTAATTATTATTTAATTTAATTTTTTGTTTTTATTTTGTTTTTGTTATTAATAACACTTTTGCTTTGGCATTTTTTCTATTTGGTTGCACAAAATTCGAACATAACCTCAAATAACCGTTGATGTTCAACATAACCTAAAAATGTTTGGCTTCTCTATTTGGTTTCATTTCATTTCATTTCATTTCATTTATTTCATACAATGTAATATAAAAAAGCCAGCATGGCCAATAACTTATATTAACTTATATATAAAAAAAAAATAAAAACCCAAACAAAGAATAAACTAAATAAATTAAAAATACATAACAGCAAAAAACAAAATTCTACATAATGAAATTTAATGCAAACCGCTAACATAACAGATTCCAAACAAGAACCCCAATCCACTGCACTCTACTTAACTGTTGCTAAGAAAAGTGGAGGGGAAAGGAAGCTTAAGGAACCATACATATAAATATACTATATATTCCTCTCGAGCCCAAGAGCAATATCAGCACCACAGACATTAAATTCCATATGTATAAATCTATAACATAAATGCTAACGAACTTAAATAAAAATGGCTCCCCAGCCAAAAATTAAAAAAAAAAGACAAAGTACCATTATGCAACCTGTAATCAGCGATTTCTTCAAAGCCAGCTTCATCAAATACGAGACAAATGCCCAAACAATTCCCTCCTATACGCAAAAGTGGAAGAGGTAAACTTACGAAGGCTCAAAGGGAGCTGATTCCACGATCTAACGACTCTAACTACAAATGATCTTTCACAAATTGCCGACGAAAACCTCGGATACAACAACTGAGGGTTCCGAGAGGATCTACACATCACAAACCTACTACACAGTGGTAAATCAACATTTCTCATAATTCTATAATAACACAAAAGGATACGATATTCAACATAAGTATAAAAGGATAGGCCAAGAAATTTAACAACAAATTGGGAAACATGATGACTACGACCCAAACCATATACATAACGAACAATGGAGTTAACAACCTTTTGGAGCCGATGCAAATGACCAGAATTAGAGCCCGAAATAACCTCCAAACAATAGTTAACCTGAGACATCAACAACGACATAGCTACCTTCACCCTAACACCAAGAGGCAAATATGCTTGGACACTATAAAGCCTCCTAAGCTGGAATCGCACACGGGACAACAGAAGATCAATGTGGGTCGAAAAACTAAGTTTGGCATCAATAATTACACCCAGACACTTCATTTCACCAACAATATTAATAGTAAAGGAACTAACGCAAATATTAGGCATAGAACCATCATAACAACAATTGAACAAAACAGCTTCAGTCTTATCCCAGTTTATATCAAGACCATTGGAAGAGATCCACATAGAGAGAGATTGCAACGTTGTGTTAGCAAGATTCTCCAACCTGGCGAGATCAGCACTCCTAAAGAATACATGTATGTCATCCGCATACAAGAAGAGACTACAATCACTAGCAGTAACAGAATCCATGATGTCATTAATGAACATAATAAAAAGTAATGGGCCCAGTACAGAACCCTGCGGGACTCCACACCGGATTAGACCAACATCAGATTGGACACCCTTGTGCACAACAAACTGGGATCTACACTCCAGATACGACGAAATTAGTCTACAGGCCGAAACGGAAAATCCAAATTTGACTCTAAGCTTGCGAATAAGCAGCGCGTGGTCAATTGAATCAAAGGCCTTAGACAAATCAAGACCAACAAGAAGACCAACATCAGAACCATCAAAAACATCACGAATAACATCAGTAAGGGATAATAAGTGTACCGTAGTACTGCAGCCACGCTGAAAACCATACTGAGAACTACTCAGGCATTTGTGATCACCAAGAAACTCCAAAATAGCATCTTTAATAATATGCTCAACTATCTTAGACATGGCCGGCAATACACTTATTGGACGCAAGTTAGACTGACTGTATGAAGACCCTTTCTTCGGAACAGGCACCACACGAGCCACCTTCCAAGCTTGCGGGAAGGATGACGTCATAAAAATACAATTAACAAAATGCAAAAAGTGAACAGATATGTATGGAAAAACACTCTTAAAAAATTTAATAGGAATGCCATCAAAACCTACAGCACCAGACTTAATTTTGCGGAGAGCACTTTCAACATCCTCCATAAACACGCAGTAAAACCTAAATGACTCTCGAACCAAGGCACCATCAATTCCTACACTCACACCAGGATTAGATTTGCCAACATTACAAAAGTAATCATTAACAGTATTAACATCAATAAAAGGAACATCATCACCACAATCCAGACAACCAAAGGACCTAAGAGACTTCCATAATTGACTACTGTTCATACGACCGAACAACTTTCCATAATATTTTCTTCTTTCATTACGCATAACAGCCTTGCAACGATTTCTGCAGATACAATATATACGTCTATTGTCATCAGTAGGCCTTCTGCGCCATTCAAAGTAAGCTAAATCCCGAATCGAACGAGCTGACTTCACAACATCTGAATTCAACCACTCATCATTTTTGGGGCTAATATGACGAGTAGCAAGAGGAACAAAAGACAGCAAACTCTGAAATAACGTCTCAAACAAGGCCAGTTGGCTGTTTACGTTACTGGTGAGATACAGAGGAGAAAAATCAAAATTAAACACAAAATCACAAATACCGATCCAATCCGCATTACAAAAATCAAGATACTCGATTACCTTCTCTTCAGCAACTACAGGCAAATCAATCATCCCAAAGATAAGCGCATGGCGAGATATGCTAGGGCATTGCCCCTGCGAGGAAAAGCCCAGCCGCATGGGATCACTGATCAAACAATAGTCAATCAGCGAGGTAGAACTATGAGCAAGATCAAAGTGCGTAGGCTTGGAATTGTGGACAATAGAAAGCCCAAGAGACCTACATATGCCCCGCATCAACGTAGATTTCGAAGAATTAAATAAGTTACAATTAAAATCACCACAGACAAACACATTTGCATATGAATCAAAAATACCCTCATGAATGCTACGAAAGGAATCTACATCTCCATGCGGCAGGTATACAACGGCAACAAGCAACGTATATGCACCGAAACACAGCTCGACGCACAAAGACTCGCATACACCATAATGATCCGATTTAAAAACCACCTTATATGACAATCTGTCACATACATACAACATAACACCGCCACCTACACGTCCAATGCGGTCACTACGAAGAGCCTTATAGCCAGGAACTCTCAATGACCTCGATGAGACAGCTGAGTTAAGCCAAGACTCAGTCACACCAAAAAAATCAATTCCACTGCCAACAAGTAGACACTTTATCTCATCCAATTTGTTATTGAATCTAGACGGACGAATGCTTTGACAGTTCAAATGGGCATACGTAAGCTTACCACCACCACAATGAATGTTCTGCGTAAAGAATTGAGCATCGCTAATTACAGGCCCTAGATTCACATCAGGGCACATAAAAATTAAATAAGAGACTGGGGAGCATAATTATTAAAGTTCGATTAAACATTGAGTGCATATCAAAATAATAATAAAAGAATAACAAATTAAACAATAAAGAATATACCAATTCAAAAAAATAAAATAATTGTTTTAAGAAAAATAATATCAAAATTAAGAAAAATGAGATCAACAATTATAAATATACATCACATGGCTATGTAACAGGAAACTGCACCGCCCCACAATCATTATCCAATACATTCCGCATCTGCGAATCTCGGGATCGATTGGCAAAATTAATAAGTTCCTGCTGCTCGAACCTAGTTTTCGTTCCATCAGGAAGAAGAACTTCAACCAAGGGCTGATCACCGTTAAGCAGCTTAAATTTCCTAATATGCTTCCTTTTAAGCAAATCTCTACAGGCATAGATAAGTTTGGAGGTCGACTTAATTAAGTGATCATTTATAAACACTCGAGACTCCACAATGCAATTCTCAATTACTTCCTTCAGAAGAATACGACCCTTTTTAGAGTAATTACGCATCAGTGAATCTCTATCCTGCACAGAGTTAAATTTCACCAACACCGCTCTACGGTCAGATATGTAACAACAGTGCTGCAAATCTCTAGGCACCAGTTGCATCCCACAAACCTTAGCAATATTTACAGTTAGCGCTCTAAGGTCTTTTATATTGTCCGGCAATCCTCTAATAATGACATTCGATCGATTCAGTCTGCGCTGGAGCATAGCATTATATAATTCCAATTCATGGACTCTGTCTATTAACTTCTTTTCCACACTAATAGAAGTGTTTTTCATTTCACTGACAGTTAACTTAAGATCACAAACGGACTGCTTCAGCTCAGTGATATTGCTCTTCACCTCAGAGAATTCAGCACTGTACAATTCAAAAAGAGCATCTGTTTGGGATTTAAACTCCTGCATACACTGTGCCATGTAAGCATCCATCTTTAGTTTCATGGTAGATAACATATCATTGGTTGTGTTTTATTAAAATTAATTTCTATTAAGATTTTTGGTAAAATATTTTTTTATTTTCGTTTTAAATCGGTTGTTGTAGTCTCTGTCACGTTGAAAAAATTTTGTTTTAAAAAATCCACGCCTTTGTTGGGTCTTTAAAAAAATATTTTTAAAAATCCACGCCTTTGGTGGGTCTTTAAAAAAATATTTTTAAAAATCCACGCCTTTGGTGGGTCTTTAAAAAAATATTTTTAAAAATCCACGCCTTTGGTGGGTCTTTAAAAAAATATTTTTAAAAATCCACGCCTTTGGTGGGTCTTTAAAAAAATATTTTTAAAAAATCCACGCCTTTGGTGGGTCTTTAAAAAAATATTTTTAAAAATCCACGCCTTTGGTGGGTCTTTAAAAAAATATTTTTAAAAATCCACGCCTTTGGTGGGTCTTTAAAAAAATATTTTTAAAAATCCACGCCTTTGGTGGGTCTTTAAAAAAATATTTTTAAAAATCCACGCCTTTGGTGGGCGTTTAAAAAAATATTTTTAAAAATCCACGCCTTTGGTGGGTCTTTAAAAAAATATTTTTAAAAATCCACGCCTTTGGTGGGTCTTTAAAAAATATTTTTAAAAATCCACGCCTTTGGTGGGTCTTTAAAAAAATATTTTTAAAAACCCACGCCTTTGGTGGGTCTTTAAAAAAATATTTTTAAAAATCCACGCCTTTGGTGGGTCTTTAAAAAAATATTTTTAAAAATCCACGCCTTTGGTGGGTCTTTAAAAAAATATTTTTAAAAATTTACGCCTTTGGTGGGTCTTTAAAAAAATATTTTTAAAAATCCACGCCTTTGGTGGGTCTTTAAACAAATATTTTTAAAAATCCACGCCTTTGGTGGGTCTTTAAAAAAATATTTTTAAAAATCCACGCCTTTGGTGGGTCTTTAAAAAAATATTTTTAAAAAATCCACGCCTTTTGTGGTTTTTTAAAAAAATATTTTTTTAAAAATCCACGCCTTGGTGGGTCTTTAAAAAATATTTTTAAAAAATTCACGCCTGTGATGATGGGTCTCTTAAAAATAATTTTAAGAAATTCACGCCTATGATGATGGGTCTCTAAAAAATATTTTTAAAAAATCCACGCCCATGATGATGGGTCTCTAAAAAAATATTTTTAAAAAGTCCGCGGCTTTGTTAAGTCCGCTTTGTTAACAATCCCTGCCTAAAAATGCCTTTGTAGCGACCTTCTCCAACCGATATAAATCATATTCTAACCTCCTGAACTAAACTATTATTAATTTCAAAAATTTAAATGGTCTCGATCTCTTTTTGGAGAACAAAAATTGAAACTCTTCTCTCTTTTCAAAGACAAATAAGACTAACAATAAAATTCTGTATTTTTTTTTTTTCAACAGGACATCCCATCATCGTATTCCGTCCCGATGTGGCACTGACCCATGAAAATGATGAAACCTATACGGGTAGCCTTAAAAATTTCGATGAACTAAAAATATGGATACAAGAGAAATGTGTACCATTGGTGCGTGAAATTACCTTCGAAAATGCCGAAGAATTGACCGAAGAAGGTTTGCCCTTCTTGATATTATTCCATCACCCGGACGATACTAATTCGATTAAGGATTACAAGGCCATCATTGAACAACAGCTGATGGATGAGAAACGTAAGGGGTTTTAATTTTTTTTATTGAGATTTTTTATTAAAATCTGTGATTTTCATTCAATAGAAAATGTCAACTTCCTAACGGCTGATGGTAAACGTTTTGCCCATCCCCTGCATCATTTGGGAAAATCGGAAGAAGATTTACCCATTATTGCCATTGATTCGTTCCGACACATGTATTTGTTCCCCAACTTTAAGGATATGTATCAGCCGGGTAAATTGAAGCAATTCTTGCAGGATTTGTACAATGGCAAGCTGCATAGGTGAGGATGAAAGAAATTATTTTGAATTATTTTTTTTTATTCTATTTTGTTTTCTGTCTTCCGCCTTTTCAGGGAATTCCATTATGGCCCCGATCCAGTGACAAATGAAATCCAAGCCGATGTAAATTCCAATACATCACCGCCCGAATCAACCTTCAAGAAATTGGGACCCTCCAAGAATCGTTACACTCTCCTAACCAAGGATGAACTGTAAAACGGTTGCCCATACAAAAAAAAGTTTTCTAAATTTCCACACACACACCCACACAAAAATTTAAATTTGTGTGTTTAAAAAAAGATTTGTTCCAATTCCATATTCCTTCCTTATCTTGAAAAAAAAACCTCCACACCCTCTTACAGAATTTCTTTTTTTGGAAAAGAAGAATGCAAATATTTTTTATATATAAATATGTAGGTCCTCTTCCCCCTTCTAAATAACCAAAAACAAAAAATGTTGCTATAAAATTTTGATATTGAATTTTTGTGTCGTTCCTCCCCTTCTTCCCAAAATTTTGATATTGAATTTTGTTCTCGTTCCTCTGCCACTCCAGCCTCCTCCCAATGCTGATAAATAATTTAAGCACTGATTGTGATTTGTTTTCTTATTCTATGCCTTCTAGTTCGATGGAACTACTTACCACAACTTCTTGCTGAATATTTGGACTAATTAGTTTTTTTTTATAGTAAGAAAAAAATATACATGGAGGATATTTTTTTAAATAATCTAAGATTATATAGCTCTATTGTAATCTATAGATCACAAATTCCATTCATATTGTATTCTTCTCTGGCTTTAAATCTCCCACTAAAAAAATGTTTTTCGTTAATTTTTTTCTTTTAATTTATTGTCTCTTTTTTCTTTTTTTTTTCTTCTTCTCCACCCACCCCCTTAATATTTTGTTTTTGGCCTTGGCTCGCGCATTTAACGATTAATTTTGAAAGTGTTTTTCATTATTATTTTTTTTGTTTCTGTATAAGTTTACGTCTTAGCAAGCATAATCATATTTTATTTGATTATAAATTTGAAAAAATACAACAACAAGAAAAAAACATTTGTAAAACACTTTATATATAGTTTGTATTTAAATAATGATGATGTATTATAAATTATGTATAATATATAATAATAAATAATAATAAAACAAAATAAAAGAAAATTAAATTTAGTAAAGAAAATAGAAAATATTTTTATTATTTAAGAAAAATGCACAACTTTGGTGGGTCTTCAAAAAAATGTTTTAAAAAATCAAAGTCTTTGAAAAAATATGTTTAAAAAATACACACCCTGTCGTGATTGTTGATCAATTTTATCGTGCTTCGTACCGAAGATATAGATGAACAGACCAAAGACTTATTTTACGAGCGCCTAGAAACTGCATATGATCGTTGCCCTGGCTATGGCATTAAAATTCTGCTAGCAGATTTTAATGCAAAAAATCGGTAGGGAAAATATGTTTGGTCCCATCGTCGGAAAATTCAGCCTCCACGAAGAAACATCAGACAACGGCATGAGATTGATTGACTTCGCGCGGCAACAAAAAACATGGTAGTTAGCAGCACCAGATTCAAGCATCTCGATATACACAAGGCCACTTGGATTTTTCCCGATCGAACAACGAGAAATCAAATCGATCATGTTGTGATAGACGGAAGGCATTCATACAGTGTTTTAGACGTCCTATCGATCCGGGGAGCGAATATCGATTCGGACCATTACCTTGTGGCAGCCGAGGTACGCAGCAAAGGTGCGATCTAATGTAACGCGGAAATGTATCATCGAAAAGCTGCAAACACAACAGATAGCAGAAGACTGCTCCGCTCAACTTACCCAACTGCTTAACGAAAGCACCCCTGGCCCCGATAATAATATAGAAGCACACGTTCACGTCGGAAAATTCAGCCACCATGAAAAAACATCAGACAACGGCATGAGTTTGATTGACTTCGCGCGGCAGCAAAAAAATATGGTAGTTAGCAGCACCAGATTCAAGCATCTCGATATACACAAGGCCACTTGGATTTCTACCGATCGAACAACGAGAAATCAAATCGATCATGGTGTGATAGACAGAAAGCATTCATCCAGTGTTTTACCTTGTGACAGCCAAGGTACGCAGCAAAAGTGCGATATAATGTAACGCGGAAATTTGACGTCGAAAAGTTGCAAACACAACAGCAGAACTACTACTCCGCTCAACTTACCCAACTGCTTGACGAAAGCACCCCTGGGCCCGATAATAATATAGAAGCACAATGGCAGAGAATTGCCCACTCCCTACAAACTGCAGCAAAAGCAACACTTGGGTACCAAAGACCACCATCAAGACTTCCGTGGTAAGATCAGGAGTGTCGTAATGCTACTGATGTGAAAAACGCAGCGTATATGGCAACCCTGCGGACAGTAGCAACACGTAATGCGATGGAGAACTATCGGGAGAAAAAGAGAGAGGAGAAAAGTTTTTTCAGAAAAAAGGAAAAGTGCAAGAAAAACGTGAGCGTGAGCAAATCGAGATATACGGGAGTTAGAATGAAGTCCGAAAATTCTACCAACGGGTAAAAAACCAAACCGAAGGTTTTGGTGACAGATACAGACAGCGTGCTGAGGATCTGGAAGGATTATTTTGAAAAAAAAAACTTTTAATTTAATTTTTTTAAATCCAAAAAATGTTTTAAATTTATTTTTAAAAATTCAAAAATATTTCTATTTTTTTTTTAAATCAAAAAAATTTTATTTTAGAAATTCAAAAAAAAAAAAAAAAATTAAATTCCAAAATATTTTTAAAATCCATACCTTATGTGGTCCTTGAAATAATCTACGCGTTTGAAAAAATATTTTTAAAAAATCTTCGCTTTTGAATTTTTTTTTAAATCTACGACTTTGAAATAAATATTTTTAAAAATATACGCTTTGGAAAACTATTTTTTTTAAAAAATCTACGACTTTGAAAAAAAATATTTTTTAAAAAATCTACGTCTTTGAAAAAAAAAATTTTTTAAAAAAATCTACACCTTTGAAAAAATATTTTTTTTTTAAAATCTACGCCTTTGAAGAAAATATTTTTAAAAAATCCACGTCTTAGAAAAAAATATTTTTAAAAAATCTAAGCCTTTTTATTTTTTTAAAAAATCTACGCCTTTGAAAAAATATTTTTTTTTAAAAATCTACGCCTTTGAAAAAAATATTTTTAAAAAATCTACTCCTTTGAAGAAAAATTTTTTAAAAAATCTACGCCTTTGAAGAAAATATTTTTTTAAAAAATCTACGCTTTTGAAAAAATATTTTGAAAAAATCCACGTCTTTGAAAACAAATATTTTTAAAAAATTTACGCCTTAAAAAAATATATTCAAAAAATTAACGCCGTTGAAAAAAAAATTTAATCTTCGCCTTTGAAAAAACATTGTTATAAAATCTACGCCCTTGGTGGGTCATCGAAAAAAATATTTTTAATAAATCCTCGCCTTTGGTGGGTCATCGAAAAAAAATAAATCCACGCCTTAGGTGGGTCCTTGAAAAAATATTTATATTTTTTTTTTATTTATTTATTAAATTCCGAACAAATATTCAAAGCAGCAATCGTGTATTTAGAATATTATGTAAACCCAAAACTGTAACAGCTATTGTGGTTTTCATACATGAATTTCGACATTTCACCATTCCACTTGGGTTGCGGTTTCTTTGTCGTCTGTTATCGCTGGCTAAATCACTTAAAAAAAGATTTTTAAAAATTATTTCAAATTCTATATTTAAAAAGTTTGGTTCACTTACATTTCACTTAAATTAATATGAGATATTTGATTCATGGAACTTCTATCGGCTTCCATTGCAAATAATAAACTAAACTATTCGAATATCGTGTTAGCTTTTTTCTCATTGTTTGATTATATATGAAATAGAAAAAAATGGAAATTAACAAGTTAATGATAACTTTGACATGAATAGGGAAACGATGTGGTTGCTCTCACAAATGAGGTTGTTCGAATGCAGTACATATTCGCTAGAGTGCCATTAATGATTGTGATCTTCATTGAAATAAGTTGGGGTGGAGGGTATTTTTTTATTGTAAAAAACAAATTGTAGTTTTTATTCGTTCCTCTTTTTGGGAATTAAATATTGTATATATAAAAAAATAATTAATTAACTACAAAGACAAATTGAACAATTGGACGGAATGTGTGCGATATGTATAGTAGGAATGTCATCACTATTTTTTTAAATACACATATAAAGTATATGAAAATTTGTATAAGACTTAGTACTAAATTGTTTAGTTATATTTTGTAGTAAAATAAATGATATTCGAGTTAAAAAAGAGATTCTTAGAAAATAAGAGCACTTTTAGGACGGTATTAAATTTTTAAATTATGTATATATATGGGGTTTATACATATTCAGCTACTGCATAATACTCGGATGCTTCTCAAAAAATAAATTTTCGTAGTCCAGCTAACATGGAAACCAAGGTTATTCCCAATATTGAGCTCATAGCACCATTGAGTTTTGAGGAGCCACTCTGTAAGAAAAAAGGAGAAAAGGAATAGAATTTATAGGATGACAAAAATAAAAACAAACAAGGAATCAGTAAGGATTGGGTGGAGGAAGAAGTCGCAATATTTTCACAATTCACCGAATAACTTTAACGTTACATTCGAACCTCGAAAAATATTTTTAAAAAATTCATGCCTTGGATGGGTCTTTGAAAAAATAATTTAAACAAATCCAGGCCTTAGTTGGGTCTTTGAAAACATATTTTTAAAAAATCCACCCCTTAGGTGGGTCTTTCTATATTCCGGAGCTTGCCCACGTTTCATCAATTCGCTTAATACTACCTATCGATTTGTAATCTTTAGATATTATTTATTTCAAAAATTCAATACGTAGAAAGCTTCCTAGCCAATTATTCATGTATTGTAGATTATTATAAAATGCAATATTACTCTGCGAAATCTGGCCGCTTCATTAAATTCTTCGATTGATTCACTAAAGCAAATCCAAGATCTGCGTTTAGCCCTCTTGATTTCACTTGTGTGCCTATTGAATTATTCTCTGTAAACGTTCAAATCTGTACTAAGTTTCGTTTTGTGCTTATCGAGTAGGCATTTGCAAGGATGGATACTGGGTATCCACTACCCTCACTTTGATCAAGTTGCATTGTTAAATATTTAATTAAACCCAAATTATAGTTCCATGACCTTAGCTCCACTGCATTCCAGTATAAAACTTCCAAAATAAAATCATTAAATTAATTTAGACCTTAGGTGGGTCTTTCTATATTCCGGAGCTTGCCCACGTTTCATCAATTCGCTTAATACTACCTATCGATTTGTAATCTTTAGATATTATTTATTTCAAAAATTCAATACGTAGAAAGCTTCCTAGCCAATTATTCATGTATTGTAGATTATTATAAAATGCAATATTACTCTGCGAAATCTGGCCGCTTCATTAAATTCTTCGATTGATTCACTAAAGCAAATCCAAGATCTGCGTTTAGCCCTCTTGATTTCACTTGTGTGCCTATTGAATTATTCTCTGTAAACGTTCAAATCTGTACTAAGTTTCGTTTTGTGCTTATCGAGTAGGCATTTGCAAGGATGGATACTGGGTATCCACTACCCTCACTTTGATCAAGTTGCATTGTTAAATATTTAATTAAACCCAAATTATAGTTCCATGACCTTAGCTCCACTGCATTCCAGTATAAAACTTCCAAAATAAAATCATTAAATTAATTTAATGATTGTTACAAAATGAAATAATAAATAAATAAATAAAATCAATTCAAACTTACAATAACAAAATAATTACAACGATCGCCCTGACAGCATTCATGACACGACCAATCCTCATACCAAATGTGTGTACAATAGGGCATATGACGTTTACGTTGGGCCTGGCAGCGTTGTTTGGTCATACAACGTTTCGAAACGTAATACTGTTTCAGAGCACCCTGTGAGAAATATGGTTGACTGCCCCAACGAATTTCCGTGCCACAGACATCCTCGCCCGGTTCACAGGTTTTAATGGTATTCAGGCATTTTTCAACATTACCCGTTTGATTGGAGCAAACATAACATTCCAGGCCAGCAACAAAGTTGACTGAAAACAACAGCAACACAATTAATTACAATTGAGGTGGGGTTTCTGATCAAAAGTGATCATGAATTATTTGTTTTGGAGATTCATCTTACCTTGACTACAATAATAAATGGCTATTATTGCAAATATGCTTACTTTCCACAGCTCCATTTTGTTGTTATTGTAAATAAGTATTTTTATTAACAGAAAATCGTAAGAAAAACAAAAAAAGTTGATCGTTTTGCGTTGGGAAATAACAAGTGTGTGTTTACTAATTTATTTTGACAGCAGAGCTAATCACCACTCCCAATGGTTTGATTAACTGTCAAAGTGTTGTTCGCATCTAATACAAAACGAAAAACGTTCCACTTGCTAACGAATGAGGGAGGAAAACAAAATGGACGATAAAGGAAGAACTCAAAGTGGCATAACGAAATATTTACGAATGGGGTGGGATGAAGACTGGGTGAGAAACGCGCATTGTTCACGCACACACGGACACTGTCCGTGGGAATGCCTCAGTGCTTGTGTTGAGTCTAGGGATGAGTAGATCGACTTTCGCCACTCCATGGCGATATGTTGTAATCGATCGACAATTGGGAAATCGACAACGGGAAAAGGCCAAAAGTCGACCTACAAGTCCCTAAACAATAAGGGAATATAAAAAGTGGGAAAATCGTTAATAATCAAATTTAATGGCGGAGACTGTGAGAAATATAATAATTACTAATTACCAAGTATATACGCCATGTATGGGTGCATCAAAAGCGTTGGATTTTTAAAAATAATTCATGAATTGTTGTGCTATGCTACGTTTATATTAGACAGTACACAGGATCCTGATGCAGTTGTCAATACTTAATACAGCCAATATAGTTCGAAATTCACCTCTATCATTCTGGAATCGTGGAAAATTGACAGATTTGTCCCTCTTCAGGAGTCCAAAAAAGGAACATTGGAAAAGTTCATTAACCACCCATAGTTATAGAAGCCAGAACATATGCGGACTTTCCACTGACAAAGACAATATATTTATCTCTGTTCTCACCGACTGGCGGCCTGAGAACTAATTTATAACATAGGAAGAATAATAATGTCCCTTACGTCTGTAAAGCGCAATGATTGGGCGCCATTTTAATTTATTTAGAAGAATATTCTCTAGGGCGCCATTGAGATTTTTATCTCCCTACCCAGGTAAGTCGGGCGTCACGGTCAATCAATATAAGTCTGAGGAAATCCTTGTGAAAAGAGTCTCAAAAATATATGGAAATTTCTAGATCAATCCTATCGAACAGATCTGGTTGACACCACTTAGATAAGAACATCAGCTACCTGAGTGCTGCAGACGTTCTGTATTCATATATGTGATGTAAGGAGGAATATTTAAATTTTCCACTGTTAATCATACAACAGGGTGACATCTCGCCACTATTGAATTGAAATCTTGGATACCAATAGAGTACGTCGGCCTCTCCCAATGTTGTAGAAGTCTCATGAAATAATCCTGCCAAGGTATGTCGGGATGGATCTACGTGATCTGATAGAAGTGAGAGTGGTCGAAAAGTATAAATTTAGAGATGAGAAAATCCCCTAAATTCTGAAGTTGCTGATGCTGAACACACCCACCCATACCCAATATAGCAGAAGAACGTCATCAATTAAATATCATTAAGTTTTAGTTACAGTACCTACTTGGGTTCCATGCATCTGATATTTAAAACTTAATAATTCAGATGAGATTCTTTTGTCCAGAAAAGAAGGGCGCCAAGAATGAGAGCTATCTGAAACATCAGAAATTCGATGAAACTCTCCTGTCAAGATATTCACATAGGAAATGATTTACATTATCTGAAGGATTTGGGAAAAGGTTCGAAGGAATAATGTCTCTAGATAAAAAACACCCTTTAGACCAGGCCCATATATAGCTAAATAACGCCAATTTCCTGAAAGCTGCAGTAAACTCAATTCATATTGGGCGCCGATTTACAGCAAATGGTTTAAAGTTTAGATGGGATTCTCTTGACCAGACAAGTTTTTCTCTAAGTGGGGAATTATCTGAAATATCAGAGGTTCTAAAAAAAACTCTTCTCTTAGGATACGTGGGAAGGGATCTACATGATCTGGAGGATATGAGAGAGATTCAAAAGTATTAGAAAGTCACTGGATCAAAAAAATCTCTTAATCAGATATCAAGTCATATTGGGCTCCGATTTACGGCAAAGTTCAGTTACAGTTGGGCGCCATTGTAAGTGTTACTGATGATTAATGATTGTTTAAAGGTGAAATGGGATTCTCCTGACCAGACAAGTCCTTCCAATGGACACATCAAATCAATAATTCAATGGCCTTTAAAACATAAGCAAATTTACTTCGAACCCTTTTATATGATATGTACTCGAAGGACCATTTTTTATTTAATAAAGCTTTCAAATGGTTGGTCTTGAAAACTTTACCTAATATTTTACTATAATATAATTTTAAACTATATTTTTAGGTTATATTAAATTGAGGTAAACAAGTTCAAGCATGTTAGTTCGCCTCAGTCAACGCGAAATATGTATTTTTCGCTTCGTCCTAAGTTTTCGACATTAAACTTAAGAAAACAGCTGTTTTTATTTTCTCCAGAGTGATTTCCTGGGTATTATCAATAAGAGTCATTGAATTTGTGCAATAGATTTATTCACTGAAATGAACCGTTATGAACTAGTTCAAAGTAATCCCATACAAATCATGGGAGCTTTTACGCGATTGAATCGCTCTAAATGCCAAACAAAATTAAAAGTGTTCCAATCATCTACTTATTTTTGCAATGACGAAGAGCATTTTTGGTCCTTCGAGCATATATTAAATAAAAAATGGAAAGGATTCCTAATGAATCGAAGAACCAAAAAATAAATAAATGATAATTTTTTTTCCAATGGAGAATTATATGAGGTTTGAACAATGTTTCCCATCAGGTCGTGTAGGATATGATTCTGAGGATTTGGGAGAGTTAAAAAATTATAAGATAGTCCTTAGATCAAAAAATCCTCTCAATCAGATCTGAATGCTGAATTTAGCACATGGAGACGACCCGTACACCCTGAATTTATATTGGGCGCCAATTTGCTGTCACTTGTAGTTTTCCCTCTCAAAATAAAATCAATGGTTGTTTAATAAATATAAAATGAATTCACTTTATTTGCACAAAATGATTGACGATGGCGGGATGATTCTTTTCATTCTATTCTTTGCTAAAAACATTCGCTAGATTCTTTTTCTTTCAATTACTATTATTAATAAATACTGTTAAGTTATGAACTAAAAACATTTGGAGATGAACGTTGCACTCGACCTCTTAGAGATGACGACCATATTAAGAAGAAGAAGAAGAGGGAGGATGGGAGGAAGAAACAATAACAACTTTATGTGACTTATGGCTTATTTCTTTGGTGGGAAAGTGCTGACAATTTGACCCCACAATAGGGTGCCCATGCCGAATGCAACACACCACAGCCATTGTTCCAAAGAGAGGGCTTTTGTGGAGAAGGCCAAGGAACCGTATTGGATGATGATGATCTAAGGGGGAAATTTTTACGATTAATAAAATTTTTTCTTTAAAGATCGTTAGCGAAAATATTTACCTGGGACACAAAGGTGAAAATCCAAATGGTATAGAAAATAGGATTGGTAAAGAGACCGGCAAACACATTACGTTGACCATGGATTTTACGGGCATTGATTTCATTGAACAAGGTCATCATGACGAAAGCATTGAAGATAATGGTGAAATGTTGTGTGGGTCCAGAACCCAAAGGTTGATCCTGACCCGATTCAATATCCAAATACTGAGCACCTGAAATCGAAGTTTAAATAATTAGTTTCCTTTTTATGAATTCCTTATTTCTCGCAAAACTTACCATAGAACAACAAACCAAAGGTAATGACCAACATATAAATCGATTGACCAATGATGTTCTTCAACATGGTGGCCGAAATCAAGGGCTTGGTACGACCATAGGGTTTACGCAACAACAAATCTGGCGTTGGCAATTCCGTGGCCAAAGCCAAGGAGGCCAGGGTGTCCATAATCAAGTTGACCCACAACATTTGCACAGCCTGTCATAGAAACAACAAAAAAGTTATTACAATCTTCTATTTTGTCTTCCTTAATTCCCCTTACCTTCAAGGGAGAATCCTGCACGGCACAGGCACCCACAAATGCCACAATCACCGCCACCACATTCACCGTCAATTGGAATTGCAAGAATTTGGCAATGGAATCGTAAACATTTCTACCCCACATAACAGCCTTAACGATACTGCTGAAGTTATCATCGGTAAGAATGATGTCGGAAGCCTCCTTGGCAACATCAGTACCGGCAATACCCATGGCAAATCCAACATCAGCCTTTTTGAGAGCAGGACCATCATTGGTGCCATCACCCGTCACAGCAACAACTTCACGATTTTCACTGACGGTACTGTCAATAATGCCTGGAATGATGGGAGAGGAAAAATTAAATTTATTAAAAAAAATCGGACTTCGAATTTGAAGAATCCTTAATTAATGAAAGCAAAAAATCGGAAGCTATGCAATCTCAAAATCTGAATAAGTAGAATGAAATAAAACGAAACAATAAAATTATGAAATGTCATATCTCAGCATCTGGAGAAGGCTTCACGGGCGCAAACAAAGAATCTTTTTCACTGATTCGGTCGGTGATTTAAATTTATCCTTATGATTTCTTGGTCTATATTTTTCGCCACTGAGAATAGTTTTCAAAATATATCTTGGGTTTGGGAGTCTTATGTCCATTAATGTTGGGCGCCGATTTGTGGCAGAATGTCCGAGATTCACGGGAAAACCCATGATAGAGCTTGAATTTAAAAAAAAATGTAATCCTCAGGTCTTAGAAAAGGGAAAGTAGAACTTTTGACCCAATTATGTTCAAAACGGACAGTCTTGCCAATTTCGTGTTGGGCGCCATTTGATGAGAACCTGCATAAAATCGGCCAAACATGTGGTATATTTAAAATATAGAATAATCACAAAAAATAGAGTTGGGAGTCATATCAAATCATGTTGGGCGCCATTTGATGAAGAGCTGTCCAAAGAGATGGCCTTAATGAACATCGGGCGGCACAGACAATTTATTTTAGAGGTGCAATATCCGCAGAAAAGAAAATTTTCTGATTTGAAATATTTTCAATGCGTTGAGTCTTTTCAATTCACGTTGGGCGCCATTTGATGAGAAACTACGGAAAGTCCTCCAAACGTGTTGTCTATTTAAAATATAGCACAATCTCTAAAAAATGGCACTATAGATGGTCCTAATGAACATCGGGCGCCACAGACAATTTATTTTTGTAGTGCAATCAAAATTCAGATCCGCAGAAAAGAAAATTACTTGTGATCTAAATTATTTTTAATTTTGAGATTCTTCTTAATTCATGTTGGGCGCCATTTAATGAGAAACTACGGAATGTCCTCCAAACGTGTTGTATATTTATAAGGTAGGATAATAATTAAAAACCTTAAGGATTGATGACTCCAATTTATGTTGGCTGTCAACTTTTGACTAAAAAGAGAATACCTGAAGTTCACGTGTAAAAACATGACAGAACCTCGAAGTCTATATGCCGGATATGATAAAATTAATTAAAAAAAAATCCGCAGGTTTTTGGAAAGGCAAAGTATCATTTTGTCCCAATTATGTTTAAGGCGGGAAGTCTTATCAATTTCATGTTGGGCGCCATTTGATGACAAACTACAGACAGTTTGAGATTCACGGGAAAATCCATGATAGAGCTTTGAAACCTTTGTGCCGAATATAGTCCAATGAAATAAAACGAAAAAATGCAAGATTAGCAGATCTTGGAAATATCATTTTTGATCCAAATTATGTTCAAGACGGAAATCTTATCACTTCGGGCGCCACACACAATGTTTTGCACGTTTTGAGAGATGATAAAAAAGTTGGAAGATCATAAATGTAGTGCTTCCAGACCTTCTGTACTTGGAAGTGGAAAACTTCGCTTTTGTCACAATTATGTTCAATTCATGTTGGGCGCCATTGGATGAGAAATTGCAGAATGTCTGTAAAACATGTGATATGTATCGAATGGAAAACCACAACTAAAAAACTTGGGCGCCATTTTAATGAGAAACTACAGAATGTCGGAGATTCACAGGAAAAAGTCATGACAGAGCTTCGGAATCGTTGCGCGGAATATAACAAAATTAATTAAAAAGAAAAAATTAAATCCGCAGATCTTAGAAATGGGTTAAATCATTTTTGAATTAAATATGTTCAAGCCGGGGAGTCTGTCTTATCATATTATGTTGGGCGCCATTTGATGGCAACCAAAATGAATGAAGCAACTTGAGTTTACATATTTTGAGATATATAGAGATAGCGACTTGGGAAATTAAGTTTAAAAATACAAACCTTTAACCAAAATATATTTGTCGGTTGGCGAAGAACGAGCCAAGACACGCAATTTGGGCCAAACTTGATCAACCAAATGTTGTTGGACCTGTAAAAGAAGACAAAGATATCAAATTTTTTTTTATACTTTTCAGAATCTGGACATAGAATCAGGGAATTTCAAGGAAGAAAATCTGAGCTTAGACCCGGTTCACACCTGAGCTATTTCATTGAAGAAATTAGGCATTCTGAGATCCAAGTTCCTCTAAGAACTCACAATTTCTTTCATATAATAAGTTTGGAGTGGATCGGGACTTAAAGGTAAAATAAAAATTTCAGATTTTTCTACTCCCGAAATTTTAAATTTTTCTGTCCTGCAAATTCCCCCGCGATTTTCAACTTACATTTCCATTACTATCACGAATACGCTTATTGAATTCTTTGCCCTCCAAAATCAGGAAATCATCACCTGGCTTCAAAATACCACACTTGGTGGCAATCGAGCGAGCGGTATTAATATTATCACCCGTAACCATACGAACCGTAATACCAGCACGTTGACATTTACGAATAGCATCGGGTACCTCAGGACGGACTGGATCTTCAATACCGACAATACACAAACAGGTTAAATTTGACATAATATATTCTTCATCATCCCAATTGGGTTCACCGTCGATCGAAACTTCATTGACGGCAGCGTTGCCCTTGACAAAATCACGATAGGCCACACAAATGGTACGGAGACCATCACAGGCCATCGGTTCAATAATTTCACGGATCATACGTTCTTGCATTTCGCTGGTGAATTCTTCCAACACGCCATTGTTGCCGTAGATGTAGGCGCATCTGTAAAAAAAAAATCGGAATTTGGGTCAGTTTCTTTGGAGAATTCCATTGAGTATTTTTGGGTTCCTCACTTCTTCAACATAATTTCCGAGGCACCCTTGCTAAAGAGACGATAACCACCATTGGGCCGGGGAATAACGGTACCCATGCTCTTGCGCACCGAGTTGAAGGTATAGACCCGAGTGAATTTATCCTCGGTGATTTCATCACGAATCTTTTGATAGCTAACACCTAAGTTCTGCACAAAACCCAGCAGGGCACATTCTGTTTTGTTGCCGACTTGTGTGGGCAAATCTTCGGGTTTGGGAGCGGGCTGTAATGCAAAAAATTGATTAGTAAAAATAAAAAAATATTTATAGGATTTGCCCTGACTTACCAAAATATTCGAGGTATAGGCGGAATTGACGGAAATGCCTTGGGTAATCAAATCGGCAACATGTTTGGGTAGATCCTGGTATTTGGGCAGGACTTTGCAGAGTTTTTCACAAATATAGGATTGTACAACAGTCATGCGGTTAGTGGTCAAGGTGCCAGTCTTATCGGAACAGATGGCAGTGGCATTACCCATAGTTTCGCAGGCGTCCAAGTGACGTACTAAGTTGTTGTCTTTCATCATTTTCTGCAGGGGGAGAAAGGGAGAAAATCCATTAATATAATAAAATACTTATTAGGGTACATTGGGTACGGAAATGATCTGCACATAAATCGCCCAAATCCGGTTCTATGAAAATTTGAAAATAAACTTCTCCAGGGTTCTTTTTTTCGGGTCGCTCTTAATGATCGAAGTTGTAATGGAAAAGAAAAGTCAGAGAGATCCTGAACTCCCATCAAAATGCGATGCGTTTTGGCTTTGGCTTAACGGCTCATCAGGCAGATTGAGAAGTTTTATTGAGGTCAAAATCTTGATAACGAAGTTATTCGGAAATTGCCTCCATGAGGGAACTATAAGCATATTGAGGGAGTTGATGCAGAACTTCCATCTTCATTTCATAGCAGCCTTCCACAGTTAAGTTAATGCTTCAGAACGTCGAGGATTCCGAACTGTTCTTTTCATTTCACATTTTCATACAACAAAAAATGGGACTCCCCAAAACGTCAGGGAGTTGAAGATGCCGAATTTCTTTTTTTATTTCATTTCAAAGCAGCCTTCCGCAGTTGATTTAATAATTAAAAATGCCAGGGAACTGCGGATTCCGAACTCTTTTTTTTTCATTTTACATTTTCTTAGCACAAAAATCGAACCCCCAGAATTTCAACCCATTAGAACACCTCACATTTCCCAACTTCTTATCTTCCCCATTCCTTACCTTAACGGAATAAGCCAGCGACAGCGTGACAGCCAAGGGTAAACCTTCAGGCACGGCCACAACCAACACCGTCACACCAATAATCAAATGATTAACGAAATTATTGGCATAGGTATTCTTCCAGGGTTTCTCTTCGACCACGAATGTTTGAACACAGAATTGGATGACCAAAATAATGACGGTAATGGCCGCGGCTGTCGAACCGAAATAACCAATTTGTATAGCCAATTTGGTGAGTTTAGCTTGCAATACTGATTTTTCTTTCTTATCGCCTTCGCTGGAGGATTTTGCGGGTGGAGTTTGTACGTGATTGCCATCGGATTTGATGCCGTTCTTTTGTCCGTTTTCTGGAAAGGTAAGAAGGAAAAAAACAAAAATTAATTGAAGTTCCGACGTTTCAAAAAAAAAAAAATATATTCAGGTATTGGAACAAAGCCTGAGACGAACTGCCTTGAAAATAATTGGGTTAATCACAAGCGATACTCAGTGGTGATTGACACTGAACAGATATTGAATACCTAAGAAAAAAATAATCCTAATTTCGAGGAGGCATCTCCGTTCCTTAAACGGCATATACATTATAGCTTTTTACCGGGTTAACCTACTTTATGAGGATTTATTTGACTTATACGCAAAGGAATTGAAAATTGAAACCCACTGGGTTAACGAAAATAACGGTTAAATGCAAACGTGCTATTACAGAGAACAAACCCTATTAATTAGGTCAATCAGGAAGCAACAGCTGTTATTTCTCAAGTTAAATGTCAAAAAAAGTTGGGATTTGTTTACGTTTTAATAATTTGAGACAATTCACAATTATGGATATTGACAGCAAGCAGCTGATCTTCCTGGATGACCTTATTTATGATGCAAAATAATAAGGTAATGTATCAAAACAAAAACAGCTGTTTTTTACTCGACCATCTGTCAAATTTTATATAGTAAAATTTTTCATGGAAACTATGCATTTTGACAGTTATTCGGATAGTCAGCTGTTCTAAATGGAGTACCAATTTATTATTAATAGGCTTTGCATCAGGCATTTCACACGAATGCAAAAGTTAAGCGGTGTACACACAATGAGTTTCGAATGACAGTTTGTCACAAATTTTGAGGGGTTTCATAGTGTGACGTTTTCAGGTCCGTAATTAATTTGGGGCAACCGAAAATATTCAGTCAGTAATCGATAATGAGACCGATCAGCTGTTTCAGATGCTCGTTCAGCCATGTACACAGTGTGAGTCAGCTGTTTTTTTTTCTCTCAAGTCTAATGTCAAAAAGCATGAAAGCAAAAGTAAAGCAGTGTACACACTATGAGTTTTGAATGACAGTTTGGCCCAAAATTTTGCCGGTTACATACTGTGACCATATAGATCCGTGATTCATTTAGGGTACCCGAAAATATTCAATCAGTAATCGATTAAAAGGCAAGATAACCCAACCGTTTGTACTCGCCTTAAATCAGGGTTGTTATTTTACGGCGCACCTGTTTACAATTGGACAGGGTGACATGAATGAAGGGACCTTTTCGAAACTGCTCCGAAACAGCTGTTTCAGATGCTCGTTCAGCGCTGTACACTCTATGAGTTTCGAATGACAGTTTGGCTCAAAATTTGTCAGTTTGATAGCGCCTTAAATCAGGGTTGTTTTTGTTCAGTCCATATGTTTACAATTGAACTGGGTGACATGAGTGAAGGAACTTTTTCGGAATTGTAACGTTTGTTTTTTTGCCAGCTGCGCCAGCTGATTAGTACAATTTGGCTAGCGGAATGCAAGCCCAATGATTGGAACCTTAGCTTCCTGTGTCCCGTGCACAAAAAAGGAGACAAGAAAACTATAGAGGAATAAGTCTCCTTCCCATCGCATATAAAGTGCTATCCAGCGTACTGTGTGAACGACTGAAGCCAATGGTCAATGACATTATTGGACCATACCAATGCGGCTTCAGACCTGGCAAGTCCATCATTGACCAGATTTTCACTCTGCGCCAAATCCTGGGGAAAAACCCCACGAAAAACACATAGACACATTCCACCTATTCGTCGACTATAAAGCTAGATTCGGCAGCCCTATCCGTTCAGAGGTGTTTAGAGTCATGTCTGCGTTGGCATCCCTGCACAATTAATTAGGCTATGCAGGGTAACTTTAACTGGCACAAGATCAGTAGTTAAAGTCGGAAAGGGCCTTTCGGAGCTCTTTAATACCGAACGAGGATTCAGACAAGGTGACAGTTTGTCTGCGTTGGCATTCCTGCAAAATTAATTCGGCTATGCAGGATAAATTTAACTGGCACAAGATCAGCAGTTTAAGTCGGAAAGGGCCCCTCGGAGCCCTTTAATACCGAACGAGGATTCAGACAAGGTGACAGTTTGTCGTGTGCCCTTTTTAACATCCTGCTGGAAAAGGTTATACGAGAGGTAAAGCTGAACAGAAATGGCTCTCTGTACACGGAACAGCATATGTTACTCGCCTACGCCGATGACATCGACATAATGGGTCGAACATTGAGAGCGGTAACAGCCACCTTTGAACAAATTGAAAAGGAGTCTGCCAAAGTGGGTCTGGCAGTAAACGGCGAGAAGACCAAGCTGATGGTATCAACGCGCAAGAAATCCAGTAGACTCGGACCAACTGTGGAACTTGAGAACTACAGCTTCGAGGTAGTCAAAAAATTTATATACCTTGGTACCGCCATAAATAAAACTAATGACATCAGTTTTGAAATTCGGAGAAGGATAGTGTTGGCCAACAGATGCTACTATGGTCCGAGTAAGCAAGCTGTACCAGATATTCTCGGACATCGGCTAGGTTATGCTGCGAGAATGAGTGAAGATGCCCCAGCCCAAAAGGCATATAAAAGCGAACCAGCTGATGGTTCACGCAGAAGGGAAATAAGATGGAAAAATCAAGTGGAAGACAACATTTCCAGCTAAGTAAGTAACGTTTTTTGCCGATCAGCTGTTTCAGATGCTCGTTCAATGCATCAGACATTTTAGTACAGCACGTTTTCATTGTTTCATTTTAGAACAGCTGACGCCTGCAATGTTGCCGCACATTGCAATTACAAAAGGGTTTTTATTTTCAGTTCCGAAAGGCCCAAAACTTACAGAGAAAATTCCGCGTGGTAAAATGAAACAAAAAGAAGAAATATCGTGCGATAATAAAATCTGTAGCGAATATTTGAAATCTTTTGATCTTCAACGTACATAATTTTTCATTGGACAGTTCCCCTTTCTATGTACAATAAAATCTGGTTAGTTAGAAATCTAAATTCTCCGTAGAGAATATCCTCGCTAGATAGAGGTGAATTTTTCAGTCCAATAGATACACATTTCTCAAACCTTCCACGAGGTAAAATGAAATAAAAAGAAAAATATTGCGGCATAATAGAATGCGGAAAATATAGAAGAGCGTCCTTCGAAATGACCCCTCTATAGCGAATATTGGGAATTTTTCGATCCTTCCCATGAATATTTTCACCTATGAAATTTCCCCCCATTCACGATAATTACCTTTCTTGGCCTTTTTCTTTTCCGTATCATGTTCATCATCGGTGGCGCCCAACAGTGTAAAGATAATACCAGCCTGGGAATTGACACCAACGGCAGTGATGACAATTTTTGCACTACCCTCCATGACATGAGTGCCAGACAATACCATGGGATCGGAATCAATGCCCTTCTTGACATGATCGGATTCACCGGTCAAGGAGGATTCATCAATCTAAAACAAAAGGGATATTAATTTTTAATATTACATGCAGAATGTGTTTTTTTTTTTTTTCAAAACCCTCACCTTCAAATCATTACTCTGAATAATAATACCATCAGCTGGCAACAGATCACCATATTTAATCTGGGCAATATCACCGACAACCAAATCACCCACCGATATCTGGCACACTTCACCTTTTCGTATAACCGAAAATTTGTGTTCACCTTCGATGCGATTTTGCAGGCCACGGAATTGACGTTCCTTGGAAAAATCATTAAAGGCGGTGACAATGACAACGACGGCAACAGAAATTAAAATGGCCAAACCCTCAATCCAGCCATGGTGGCTTTCTTCTTCTTCCAGGACGGCTGAAATTAAAACAAAATATTTTAATTTTTATTCTCAGATTTCTCACTCCACAACTTACCTTTATTTTCTTCCTCGGGTGCATAGAATGACAGAGCCAATGATACAATGGCTGCCACCTCCAGAATGATCAATGTCACATCCTGCATAGCCTCCCACATTAATCGTAGAAATGATTTTGGCGGTTTTGGTGGTATAATATTCGAACCGAATGTTTCACGACGATGTTCAATATCGGTTTTCGAGGCATTCAAACCTTCGTTGGGTGAGGTATATAATTTCTTACACAATTCCATGACACCGCCCATTTCTTCGATTTTGGCGGCACCCTCACGGCCACGATTCTCCATGAGTTCGCGCAATTGCCGAAGCGATACCCCATATTGGGCCGGTCGTCCATTAATGCTGGCCATTTGTTAAACCTGTAATGAAAGGGAGGGAGGGAAGAAGAGGGGAATTAGAATCGGAAAATAAACGTTCATACTAAAACTAGATACCAAAGAAGGAATAGAGTCGGGTTTGAAATATTAGAAGCTCTGCGGAAGGTTTTTATTTAGTTAAGGCAATTGTTACTCCAAGGTCCACATCATTGGAATATTCCTTGATCATAAATGCAGGGTGAGAAATGTCCCCAAAAATACCGAAAAAATTGTATCAACATGAGGTCCTGACAGCGAGAATAGCAAATTGTGGATTCATAGAAATTCCGCTAGAAATTGTCCTGAAGTCTTAGCAGAAATTTCAGTCTAAAATAAGCAAATGCTCGATAGTGGGCCAACTTTCTGTCAAATAGTACGAAGGGTAAGAAATGTCCCCATAAATACCGAAGAATCTGTATCAACATGGAGGAGATCCTGATAGCGGGTATAGCCAGTTGTGGATTCATAGAAATTCCTCGAAAAATTGTCCTGAAGTATTGGCAGAAATTCCAGTCCAATATGAGGAAATCTCTTCACTTGATAGTGGGGCCAACATTCTGTCAAATAGTACGAAGGGTAAGAAATGTCCCCATAAATACCGAAGGATTTGTATCAACATGGAGGATATCCTGACAACGAGAATAGCCAGTTGTAGAGTCACAGAAGTGCCGCAAAACAATATCCTAGAGTCTTAGTAGAAATGCCAGTCCAACTTGAGGAAATCTCTTCGCTCGATAGTGGGCCAACTTTCTGTCAAATAGTACGAAGGGTAAGAAATGTCCTCATAAATACCGAAGAATTTATATCAACATGGAGGAGATCCTGACAGCGAGTGCAGCCATTTGTGAAGTCACAGAAGTGCCGCGAAAAATTGTCCTGATGTTTTGGCAGAAATGACAGTATAAAAAGAGGAAATATCTTCGCTCGATAGTCAACTTTCTGTCGAAGTAAAATACTGAAGCGTGGAAAAATTCTATCAAATCGACAGACGTCCTGATGACCCAGTTCAAGTATTCAACAAAAAAATTGCCCTCTGAGACGAAATTTCACAAAAATGCCCGTCCAAATTTTTTGCCAAATAGTACGAAGAATTTTAAAAGAGTTGTCCCCTAGGAGAGAGGATCGGAATGTTTTGTGGCTCCGCGAGACAAGGAGGAACTAATAAAAAATGCTCCAGAATTTTGTCTCATGGTGAAGGCAGTTATGTCAGGCAGAGGTTCTACAGACAAGAGCTGGGGAGAACTCAAATGAAAGAAACTATGAGAAAGGGTATTCTAAAATATGCGTTCGGGCATCCTTCTGCAAAAGTAGTACGAACCAACGCCTATTAATAGGGTCATTCAGGGAGACCAGCTGGATACCAGCTGTTTCGCAAGTTTGCTGTCAAAATCCATTATTGTGAATTATTCAGAGAGATCATTATTGTGAATCATCCAGAGAGATCAGCTGTTTATAAGCTGCCAATTTAAATGTCGCTTTGCAATGTAAACGACGTCTAAAGACGTTATAATTAATTTCCTGAATATTGAAGAGATTACTTGAAAACGTCTTAAAATAAAGTGCCTCTCATTATTTTCAAATGTTTCCAGGAATAGATTTAGTTCAAGGAGTATTAATAAGGTCACCCAAAAATATCAGCTGCAAATCAGGTGATTCTAATCTTTGCTGTCAAAATCCATTATTTTGAAAAATTTGACTCATTGTCGAGGAAATTCTGCCATGGGGAATAATTAATGGTGGGTTTATAAGCGAAAAAAGATATCTCTTTCAAAATGAATGCAGAAGATGCCGGGTGACAATAATTTATTTCAAGGCCTATTAGTAAGGTCATCAAAGAAGATCAGCTGATTCTCAAGATTGCTGTCAAAATCCATTATTTTGAAAAATTTCAAAGAATTTGCTTCATGGTCGAAGAAATCCTGCCATGAGGAACAATTAAGGGTGGGTTCATTAGCAAAACTAGGATATCTCTTCTAAAACAAATGCAGAAGATGACGAGTGACAATTTAAATGACGCTTTGTAATGTAAACGTTACCTAAAGCCCTTAAATAATTAATTTCCTGAATAATGAAAAGAGTAATTGAAAACATTTTAAAAAAATTTTACTCATTATTTTCAACAGTTTGCATATATAGATTTATTTCAAGGCCTATTAGTAAGATCATCAAGGAAGATCAGCTGATTCTCAAGTTTGCTGTCAAAAAGCCATTATTGTTAAAAATTACAAAGAATTTGCTTCATGGTCGAAGTAATCCAAAACAGGATGATCAGCTGTAAGTCAGTGAAATCAGCTGCTGCTCTAATCCATTATTGTGAATTGACTTTACGCCATGAAAACGTAAATATAACCTCATGTACTTAAGAACATTTCATAATGCAATAATAAGGTGATGTGTCAAAACAAAAACATCTGTTTTTCTATTCGAACATCTGTCAAATTTTAACGAATGATATTTCTCATGGTTGACAACATTGCACGTCGAATTCAAGTAGAAACTATGTTCTTTGACAGTTAATTGGATAGTCAGCTGTGCTAAATGGAGCACATATCTATTGTGCCATGGATAAGCTGATGCCAAAAACTAAAATTACAGCTGATATAGTAATAAAATTAGACAATGTTTACATTTGTAAAATGGGTTTAATATATGTCCGAGTTTAGATATCAATGTCAACGTTTAAATTTTTGACATTCGACAGGTGTTTTCATGTCATGGGTATCCTTATTAATGGACCTTGATTTAATATACTTTTAAGAAAAATTTTCTGCCTCTCTCTCTACCTCTTAAAATTCGAGTAACTTTGTACACCGGACATTGTCAAGGAAAACTTATCCAAAAACACATTAAAGTTGGCAATGAAAAATATATATCTCTAATATCTGTATATATCTGTAAATAATTCCATTTTAATTATTTTCTTTTCTATCTACTTCTTCTTCTTCTTCCTCGCCTTTAAATAGTTTCTAAATGTTTAAATTCGTTTAGAAAATTTATTTTAAATAATGTTTAAAATATGTTGTTTATATTTTTGTGTATATTTAATTTAAATATAAACATCGATTTTAGTAATTATTTAAACAAAAGTAAGGTATAGGTGTGTGTGTGTATTTGTGTGTGTGCAGAAAAACTAAAATTTACAGTCCCGCAAAAAAGACCCACTGAATACTTTTGGTATGCAAACTAAATGATCATAAAATACCATGGACATGTTTATTAGACAGGATCGGTTTGGTTAATTGCAAGAAATTTGCCGGAAGATTTTTATTGGTTTTGTTGGTAATACAGTGTGTAAACCTTGTTTGAGCAACATAGAAACCATGATCCAAATAACAGGTCAAGTCAGAAGCAATCGTTATCGGCAATTTGATTAAAATCCACCACGCTGTCAAATTCTTTGTTTACGTTTTCACACAATCGAAAGCATTTTAACAGCTGGGGTGAAATCATCTGGCCTTATAGGACGACCTTATTATTGGATCATGATAGAAACTACGCACTTTGACAGGTTATCGGATAATCAGCTGCGCTAAAAAGAGTTTCTATTTATTGTGCCATGGATCAGCTGATGGAAAAACTAAAATTGAAGAAGGGTTCACATTCTTAGTAATAGTTGATGGTACGAATCAGATTATGATGCAATAATAAGTTGATATATTAAAACAAAAACAACTGTTTTTTATTCGACCATCTGTCAAATTTATTCTGGTAATATTTCTCATGGTTGGCAACATTGCACGTCGAATTCAAGTAGAAATTATGCACTTTGATAGGTTATTGCATAATGCAATTATAAGGTGATGTATCAAAACAAATGTTTTTGTCTCGATTATCTGTCAAATTTTTCCTTATAATATTTCATATGGTTGGCAAAACTGCACATCGAATTCAAGTAGAAATTACCCACTTTGACAGTTAGTCGAGACATCAGCTGCGCTAAATGGACTACCTTTTCATTGTGCCATGGGTTATTGGATAGTCAGTTGCGCTAAATGGAGTACCTATCGATTGTGCCATGGGTCAGCTGATGAAAAAATAACTAAAATTACAGCTGATATAGAAGGGTTGACATTCTTAGAAATAACATGCAATCTTTACATCTGTCCGATTTTAATTTACAAAAAAGAAGTACTTTTCTTGGCGTTTAAAAAATCTTCAAATTCATAATAACAAAACTTTATATAACCACCCTAATATCTTGATAACATTGCACATTCTCTTGTCTGGTCTTGCCATGCATTTTATTTTTTTCTTTGTAAAAATTTCGCGCTAAAATTTATAACTCAGTAATCCACAACACATTGTATAAACAAAGACAAAAAATGAAGTTTTGTTTGGTTTTCACGATTTATCTGCCGGCCCACAATTAATCCTCTCACTCTCTATACACCTCCCTCTCATCTTATTATTCTCCCCACAAAAAATGACAAATATTTTTCGTTTTAAAATTTTGTTTAACATTTTCTTTTTTGTGGTTGTTGTTGTAAATTTTTATCTAAAAGGGAATCATTGCCACTGCAGTGTCGTCAAAAGAAAGTATTCAGCCAATATTTGATTATGAGACAAAAAAAAAAACAAGATTTCATTTTTTTCAACTAAAGTAAACCTTGAAAATATGAATGACAGCTATTAATCAGCAGTAGTGTGGGCAATAGTGTACCAAGTTACTTGTTTTCATTTTTTTAAATTATTTCCGTCAAATACACATGTGTTTATACTATGCGTATAATAGATAATTATTTATAAGATAATCTTATCTAGATACGTGTGGTAGCCAGCGTGGTTAGTTGTTAAGAAAACAAAGCGGAATTTTTGTTATCTTTCAGAGATAAAAATATATTTAGCTTGATAATAGAAAAAGTATAATTTGAGATGCTTAAAATGCCGTCCTGAAACTATTACATATATTTGGCATGACATTAAGGAAATTTGACAATATAAATGACATGTTTTATTAAAACAAGTTTAATGTAAATGTAACCAAAATAAGTTTCGGAATCAAA